GATATGGTTGCAGATGGATTAACGAAGGGTCTTACTGGAGAGAAACACATGCGGTTCGTTTCCATGCTCGGTTTGAAACCACGAATGAGTGGGAGTGTTAGAAATTGACATCTAGATACATTCTCGTTTAAACGCGTCTCGGACTTTTCTACTTACATGTCACACCCGTCACGCTCAGTGGTTGTTCTTCTACACAACGCTGAGCTTGTACGTCGTTTCGTTCTCTTTCTTTCTTATCAATACTCACTGGTACCTAGACTTGTTATTTCATTAGGTACTAAATATAGTGGTTGTTCTTCTACACAACGCTGAGCTTACTTGTTATTTCATTAGAGTTGAGGACACGGGACACAGACACGACGAATGAGGACATGGGGACCATGGGACAACAACGACTGCTCCAAATGCACACCCCAACAACGATGCAGATGCAGGCGCTACGTTGTGTCAGCGAGGCGGCAACCATACCATGCAACCACAGCGACACGACGACGACACCACAGCGACACCATGACGACACCACAGCGACGCAACGACGACGCCACAGCAACACGACAACGACACCACAGCAACACGACAACGACATTACAGTGACGCAACGACGACAGACACCACAGTGATGCGACGATGACAGACACCACAGCGACGCAACGACAACACAAGCGACGCGACAACTACACCACGATGTGACCATGGCGACACACGACGGTGCCGCAACCATGCGACGACAACACAATGGCCACACAACCACAATGCGATGATGAGGCCCTTTCTCCTCATCTCAAGATGTCTGTTGGCTCATGTGTTTCACTTTACCTGTAATGTATTTTGTAGTCAGTTACTTGTAGCTGTTCCAGCGAGTGCTGTGCCGTGCACAGGTCTAAAGCTTCTACATAATCAGTTGAATAGAATACAGTTATAATTGTCTTTGTGTTAATACACTAAAATTTGATATTGTTTGACTTGTGACTGAGAGTAAGATCAATACTGAATGAAAATACAGTAGCTACCCGTCATAAGACCCGCCTAACCCGCCAAACCCACAAAAACCCATACCCTTACCCGCAGAAACCCCTACCCATGGTTGAGGGTATGGGTTTTCATGGGTATGGGTACGGGTATGGCCAAAAGTACCCGGGGGTTACCTGTGACAATGCCTAATCATCTTCATAGGCCTGATTATGATGATCATCTCATCACTGACTAATGTAAACAAGTAGTGTTGGATCACAATTTATGGCTCATTTCAATTAGATACTGTTTCAATCAGGCCAGGTTCAATCCCATTATCTTCCAATTGTGCTCTTTTTGATCAAATGTATAAGTACTCTACAAGTTTAAGGAAATTACAATCAAGATCCATGTTTCAACATTTCTCTTCAATGTATTTCATTCCAATCAAGACTCATACTTTGACATTTCCCGATCTCCAAAAAAGGAAGGTCCATACCCTAAAAGGGAAATTGACACTGACAGACTACAAAAGTTTGCTGATAAACTACAAGAGCCAGTTACAGACTATAAATGTAACCAATAGACTACAAAAGACTACAAAGTTTACTGATAGGCTACCTAAGTTTGTAGTGTCTGTTCTTTGAGACTAAAAAGTCAGACATAGACTATAAGTTTTAATGATAGACTACAAGAGTTTGTAGTGTCCGCTTTTTTAGACTACAAAAGTTTGTAGTGTCCATAGTGCCACTTCTTCAGACTACAAAGTGTTTAGCAACTGCTTTTTTCATTACAAAAGATTTTATTGTCCACTTTTTGATATTTTGCCACTGCTGCACCATTGGTCTTGATATCATGACTAAGGTTGTCTGTCACATTCTGAGGGCAAGCTCATCTCAGGATAAGATAATGTCTGTGTCAGAACCAGACATCTCACTCATGTCTAAACATCAATATATGTCTAGTTTGTGGGAGTGCTTCTCCCCTTTCATTCAGATCTGCTTCTGATGCTAAGAAATCACTTATTGGACATCTTCCCAAAATTTTTCAATTTTCATATGAAAAGCCACTACTGTATCTTATCTCTGACCTCAGTCAACCTTATGTATATGATAAGGACTAGCATGGTTTAGGTAATACTGCAGAAATTTCCATACTTTAGTTACCAGTAACATTCGGTACGAAACTGTGGAATTTCCATAAATTCCATGGTTTTCCGGAACTGCCAAGCTGCTAAATGAGTTTAATAGGGTTACAAAGCGTGACTAGTTAAAATAAATAACTGTATACAAATTTATTAATGATCAAGATGCATTTCATCATTTCGCCTATGCTTGCATGATATTTGAAAAAAGTTCAAGGTTATATTGACTCCAAATACTGCAGAGAATAAAACCAAATTTATTGGCATTTTTATACCTGCTGTACATTGAAATCAGGCTCTGTTTCATGGGATTTGAGTTTTTGGCTTGAGGGATCAGCCAGGTTTGCACAAAGTTTGGGGCATAGGCCTAATTACAATAATAAAAATAAGAGTAAAATATGTCTAAATGACAATTAAGAGTATATTGTTCCTCCAGAACAGAAAAAAAGTATAAATTACAGAGTGACATTATGATATTTGAGCTGTGAAGTCAGAACAGCATAAAAGGCTCAGTTGTACCGGTAACCGCAGTAACCGTACCGTACCATATTTGGTAAAACTGTGGTTTTTTTACTGGTTGTTACCATGCTAGTCCCTAGTATATCAGTAGACACTGTTCTATGTCTGACTATAGCCATCCTTGACAATGATTTCTTTGAAGGGTATACATTTCCTGTTATATGAGTGCAGACTATCCCAAGACTATCCTGTCTTGATCCTGTCTTTTAATGTCATCACCAGTTGCCACTTTGCAAGCACTCATCACAGTCAGTCTTAACAGAATTCATTCAAGAGTACAAAGGGTGAAACATAGAGGGTAGTTCAGTCATCTCTATTTTTCCTCTTTTCTTTCATCTGCAAAGGCCTTTTTTCCCAGTAGCAAGGCCCTTTCTCATGAGACTCAGAGAGGGCTGGCCAAACTCTGGAGACTCCTGTAGCAGCCTCGTTTCCCCATAGACTGTCCAAATCTCATGAGCTCTCTGGTGGTTCCTGTAGATTTATACTGTTCAGTAGAAATCAACGACTACAAGGCACTGGGTCAGTAGCTGCCTACCTGTTCTAATTAATCAGAAATCTCACTGCCAACGATCTCACAAGCACGGTCATTGTCAACAATGACGGTGTCTGTGCACTGAAAGGGGACTATTTTGGCCAAACAGGCAAATGTGGAAGATATAAAATGCCAGTCAGTGGCATCTTTTCAACATCTTCTCTCTCCCATCTCCCCTTTTTTGAACAGCTCCCCCGTTGTTCGCAAATTGCTCCCTCCTTGATATGGGGTTTCCTCAATGTAAGCTGTCTAGTACTAACAACTTTCCCCCCTTCATAGAATGTTCTATCTCAGCCTGGTACATCTGGGTGGACATCGGTAGTGTGCATTTCATTTTCACAAAGTACAGCTGCTATGGTGCTATGGCACTATGAGTCTCCCATTGCTCAGGAGCACTGGTGAGGAACACACCTTCCTATGGTGCACTATGATAGAGGGGTACATTGCTCCAGGCCTCCAAAGCTACCTGACGCTATGTAGACACCTGCAAGGGGGTGGCGGAACGTGGATCCCGGATATAGGGTTGGGGGGGGGGCATCCGTCAGAGGCCTTAAATTTTTTTGTGACCTTCTCTAATAAAATCCATTCAAATGGTTTGCAACACTACCAGAGCACCCTTGGAGCTTGATTTGGTAAGTTGCACACACATATTTGGTCAGTAATTTTCGATACCTTGCATACGTCCTGACGTGTGTGGTGTTTACAGACGTTTCCTGGGCATGACACCCTGAAGGTGATGGAGTCGATGTCGGGCGCATAGGTGGTTGGAATGGCGCCGGGCAAGTCGACGAGTTCGATGAGCGTGGAGAACCCAGAAGGTCATCGCTGTCATTGGTAAACGACGTTCGGAGGTGACGGCTGCCAATAACCGATGGTTCCTTCTGAGAAAAACATAGGAGGGTGGGAAGAACATACCGGATTTGGGGGGTGAAGGGAGGGGGGGGTTGAGCACTAGGGCCTTAATTCTTCTTGCGACTGTATATGTAAATTCCACGTTCCGCCACCCCCTTGGACACCTGTAGTCAGTAGTTATTTTGCAGATGTTGTCCAGGATTCAGGTGAAATATAAGCTTGGATTCAGTCAACCTTTTCTGTCATGACCTGACATTGAGATAAAATCTACAAGGACCAATCAGCCCCTTAGTTGAGATAGGATGGTAGATAGCAATATGAAAAGACAAGATAGCTCCAAGGATGTCAAAGACAACCTTGGGCATGATACAGTGCCTACCATCACTTCCCCACCATCCTCGGCATGAGCCAAGGAAATTTTTATGATTTTTTTTTCCTTTTTTTTCTCTGAAGAAACCCATGAAAAGAATGCATTTGACAAAGTTTTGGTGTTTTTCCCACGGTGTTTCACTTTTTTGGGCTCAGATACAAAATTTCACCCCTCAGGAAACTGTTCACACTGCTCCAAAACAATGGGAAATGCTAAAAAATGATGTTTAAACGATGTGCCATGATAGATGTCCTTGGTTTTCCATAAATGGTTAGGACCCTGTTGTGCCCCTATTACCATATTAGGGTGTGCACGGACCATTATTAAGCTAGGGTTAGGGCTTGTTTCACTTTTTCAAGGTCAAAAAATTGAAAACTTGAGCTACAGGTCTGATTTTCACACTGCAGATAGCTACAATCAATCTGAGCACAAATATGCTGTTTTTGAGCTTACTTAAAAAATGTAGTTAGAGAAAGTTTGTTTTTGTTGATTGCCTGCCAAATCAGGTGCGGGGAAGTGATGACAGGCACTATATATATATTAAGACTAATGATGTAACAGTGGCAAAAGAGAGCATTTTTGAAGGCAAAAAAAAAAGACAGCAGCATGGTATACAGTATAATAAGATATCTTCAAGAGAGCTTATACATCTATTCCACACAATACATCTCAGCCACATTTCTCAAATCAAAGATCAGACTTGACACACCTGAACAGCTTTTTTACTTATCATCTTCTTCTGCACAAAATGATATGCCTTCTGAATGTCAGACCACATGAAAAGCGGTGTGATGACCAGCATAATCGGTATGGAGATCTCCCAAAACAAAAGGTCCGAGTTGTGTTGGACAGACCACTCTTTCACAAAGTTCATACCCTAAAGAGAGAGATGAGAAGCAGATGAGGCGAGGAAGATGCACTGGTGGGGTTTGGGAAAGGACTTACGAAATACCCAGTTAGGAAGGTAAGGGGGAGGAAAATGATCGTTGCGAGAGTTAATCGACGCCTGTGAGGAGCTTGTGAGTGTGCGTTTTTTGGATAAACAATACATAGACGCACATCACTTCGTTCATTTCATACGAAGCCAGCTGTTTGAAGAAATAAGGCGTGGTGTCAGCACTTTGCACACTGATGTACCAAGTGGCTTACATTGAAGGTATAGTCAATGAGGTTCTCTGCAATGCCAGCAAACATGTCAAGACTAGAGAGGATATGCTCCATATGGTCAAAAACGTCCGCCTGCGTAATTTCGACTCATCAACCATAGCACCAGGAGGACACTATAAAACACATACCAAATATATCTTGGATTTGTGGCTCATAAACCCAACAACCTTGACATCCGCATTCGTCGGATCGGAAGAATCAATGAGAGCGGCACAACGATCAACGTCGTACCGCCTAAGGCCATAAAGGAGTGTTTTGATGGGTTCCAAGGTTCGTTTATGTAGTATCAGGTCGCCTGAAAGAATGTGTACTGCAGATTTCAAGCATAAAATGAGATACTTCTGAAAAGGGGATAAGTGACCACGTACGTTGCTTGACGGTCTTCATACTGGGTTTGAGTAGGATATCGCGTTCGTAGTTGTTGATTTTAATTTGATATTCGTCAATGACTTGGAGGGCGTTGTCGACAACTGAATGGAATATATGTAAGTAAGGTGACGAGGCCATAGTTGCAAGGAACCGTACTCAGATCAAGGATACCGTGCACCAGCAAAGACGCGTCGGCAGACTTCCTGAGAACGGTATCACGTTGGCGTAGGCGTTGGGTTATGGGTGCGGTCAGGGAGAGGTCGGGTGTTGGATGTATCGAGATGACAGTTCCTGAGTGGGGGTTACAAGACTTCGATCTGAGAATGGCAGAACTGACCATCTCGGAAGAGGAATATGAACATTGGGGACACATTCACATTTACACGGCCGTCCTGGATATTCGGTCAGTACCTTGACACAACTGCAGCACTGAATATGTAACCTGTTTCAACGCTGCCACGGACACTTCCGCTACCTTTTGCCTTTCCCTAACGTCTTTGAGCTGTTTCATATTTAATGTCCATACATATCAATTCACCAAGCGTCAAAAACGCACCTGTGCTTCCCTCTTGAGCAGTGAAGTGAGGCGACTAGGGGAATTCCATGCTGGGGTCAACGGTGTTGGAGGAATGTCAGCTTGGGTGGACGGCAGGATAGGGCCAGTTCTTCGTCGCATTGTTGACGATCTGCGCGACTTTGAGAGGCTTATTTTAGCGCTTTCGTCATGACCATTGCCACGCGACTCGTGTGGAGTACCCTCCTCATCCTCCTCCTTTATTGGTTCTGGAGAGGATGAGCGGTCCGCATGACTTGGGAAACCAAAAGATTCGCTCTGTTTCTTCTCATCCCGATTAAGTTCATGGCAAAGAACTCGTAAGAAAAGATGCTGGCTGTAATAGTCCGCTTTTGACCTATTTCGAATATGGCCATGGAACACGTCCTCCAACGCCAATGGATGAAGGTCTAAAAACTGGTCAGGCGCGTCTTAGCGGAGGCAAAAAGTAGAGCCCACCATATTTGATCGCGACGGCTTTGATGACGTCCCAGCTCAAACCACCAATGTTTATCCAACGCACCTTCACCCAAGGCTCCCTCTGACCCGCATTATCATCGTCGATGAGATCCACGAACTCCGCATTGGATATCTTCCGAAAGTTACTGCGAATGGACGAGTAATCCGACACCTCAATCACACATTCTTTATGGATGTTCCCATACAACGCCTCTGCAGTAGGCCGTCGGGGGTTCACGCCAGGCTCAGCCCCAACGCGTGAAGTCATGCCGACCTCGAATATGGACGCCCCACGACGCAGAGCTATAACTCTCCGGGCCAAAGAACGGAACCGTTCAAGGGGTGGCAGCTGCTGCCAAGCGGAAGGGATTGACGCGGCGGCGGATTGGTGACTGGCTTGGGAGTGTATTGATCTCTTGGAACCCGTACGAGTGCGTACCAGCTGTAAGTGGTGTGCCCCGCCTCCAGGTGATCGGTGATGCCTTTGTCGAGGTGATATTGCCGTTGGAGAAGCTGCACGACGCTCGGCTATTTCCTCGTCTTCGAGGTCAGGCGTGAGGGAACGTCCCTCTGAATCTGAAAAGCTATTCTCGCGAGGCATGCTGGAGACACGGAAAGCTGGCTTGTGGGCGGGGTGAGGGGAGAATAAGCTTCACCCTCAGAAGTAATGGTCAACGGGGGCCAATGAGCGGCAAACTATGGCCCCCCTGTCATTAAGGCCCAGGGGTGGCAACGAGCTACGCGTGCGCATGTCACTCCAACCACGATAATCAGAATATTTTTAGTGCACTCTAATGCCTCGTGTACTTTTGAGATAAATTTTGCACCTACCTATTCTGCGTCAAACAATTATTACTCTGGGTTTTGGAATCCATAGGCCACAGACAGCGATATTAATTAAACGAGCGATCTAATTGTGCGACAGCGAGGTAAAGACAGGGTATGAAAAAAAAAATACTATGTAGGAAGCATCCAGACCTGGAATGCCGTTAAACCATGAATCGTAAGAATGAAAATTGAAAACGAGGAGAGAGAGAAAAAAAGCAGGGAGTGTGGTTACCAGGGGTGTTTATACGTGCTGATCTGGCGTAACTAGCTGTGCATATAGTAGATAGCAGGGTGCTGCAATAGTTAGAGAGGTGCATGTAGGGAAAAAAAAAAGAAACTTGATGAACAGCCACCAACCAGTGGTGTTGACATCACTACGATTGGCGAGGGGAGGAGAAAAGTGAAAAGACTTTCTCTGCGTTGTTCTTGTACCTCTTCAACTTCTTCGTCTTGAGCTTTTCCTGCGTCGTTGAGGGGGATGACGACTCTTTGACGTCAGGTCTTCCATTATCAACGGGTATAGCGGGAGTCGCCCCACTCCCTGATTGATCAGAGGAGGCACTCTGGGCACCCATAGAAGTAGCTGACTGTTTGGATCTAAGAGATGGCGACACTGGCAGTGTGCTCCCAAACGACGGCGAAGCAGTGATTGACGCTGCTGAGAGAACATTGGACGCAGACGCAGACCTCGTCGTACTCGTCTTCGAAGAGTAAGACGACGGAGGAGGTGACCTAGGCCGCAAGAACTGTCTGGGGTGCTTTCTAAACGTAAGCCCACCAGCATTCCTTCCACGACGTTGAGAAGGAGAAGGAGACTCCGTTGCCTCCGATGCCTGAGAAGCCTTCGACATCCCTGAGAACGACCGTTGCGCAGATCGCGAATTCGGCGTCGATGCTTTGCGGAAAACAGCCAAACGATATCGGTCGACAACACCACGAGCGAAAAGACTGGTTCCCTTTGTTCCATTGCGGTCTTCTCCGTCTACTGCTTCCACGAAATCCCAATCATCGTCCTCTTCGTCCCTTTCCGCCTCCGTATCGTCGACGGCGTCGGAGAGGTATCGGTCCAGAGCATGAACACCAGACTTTTCCCGACGTGAGCGTGTGGCCGGACCTTGTGGGCGAGAAACAGATTTTGATGGTGGTGGAGGTGTGACTCTTCCCTTAACGTCTTTGCTTGGAACAACAGGCGCCGTAAGCTCCGTAGGGCCAAGAGGAGGTAGTTCCTTGCTGAGCCGTGATTTCGACCCTTCGTCCTCTGGTATCTTCACAACGAACTCTTCCACAATTTCCTCCTCCTCGGCAACAACAGGTTCGACGGGAGTAGCGGGTTCTTCAGGTATAACCTCCTCAACTACTTCAGGCAAAGCATTCGGCCGTGCTTCAGGCGTTTTAGGCTCGGCAACTTCTTCTGCTTTAGTTGCTTCCACAACTGGGACAACCTCAGATTCCACACCCTTGACAACCGATGAATCATCCATGCCTTCAAGACTTTCCTCTTCTGATCCATCCTCAGAGCCTTCTTCTTCCTCTTCCTCCTCCTCTTCGTCATCAATGAGAACGGAATGGCGGCCCTTGAACGAATATCCATCAAAAAGATCCACAGAATCCTCCTCTTCCGTTCCAACGGCGACTACTAGTGGTGCTCGCATGGAGGAGCTTCGAGATTGAGATGGGGTGGTATTTGTCTCTTCACCGTCTGTCCGGTCAGTGTCGGTTTGAGGCTCCTGGTCAGTGTCGGTAGCTGGGTCGTTGCTGTTGAAGTCGTCTAAAACGGGTTCCATCTCGAGGAAGGTATCATCGAAGTTTTGCGTATCGCTCGCGTTGCAGGGGTCAATAGGCGGGATATAAGGTGCTGAAGAGTCTTATCAGTCATAATTTTCATGTTCAAAGAACGTAGGACCTACGTATGTAGCGCTTATAATAAACATGGGCCCAGTCACTGCAAAGATAAATATAAGCAACGTTAACTATGATATTGCCAAAAACTTACATCATTGAAAAATACGGATGCTTCTTAATCCGGGGTTCACATATTCTAAGTGCAGGATTACGTTGAAGGAGCTAGATGAAAAAAGTCAGATCGTTACTTCTATGCCAAATGAAAAAAGAACCATACCCCACGAATCAAGCTCTTAGTATCCTGATCAATCGCTCTATCATCCGGGAACTGCAGCTCATCCTGCAACACCCTAAGATACATATCCGAATGATTGTTCGCCCAAAACGGTGTCTACCAACATCCATCAACTCAGCCTCAACTCAACCCAAAGAAAAGAAAAAAAGAAAAACGCACAATTCCAGTCAACATCTCATAAAGCATCGTCCCAAAACTCCACCAATCCACTTCATACCCATATTCCAACCCCTGAATAACCTCGGGAGCAAGATACTCCGCCGTCCCACAAAACGTCGTCGTCGAATCACTATGCCCAATCGGCTGACCAGGCCACCCCAACGCCAATTCCCCCGTCCTATCAGGCTTCATCCAGGGGGGGTTGACAGGCTGCGGCGTCCCAGGCGCAGAAGAATAATAATCGCCACCACGTGAACCAGAAGGCGTTATCGGCGCAGAAGCCGTCGTTGTGCGCCTGGGAAACTCTTTTGAGAGCCCAAAGTCGGTCAAGACGATGTGTCCGTCTGCGCCGATGAGGATGTTTTCGGGTTTGAGGTCTCGGTAGATGACTCCGACTGCGTGGAGGCCTTCTACACCTTCTACGATTTCGGCGGCGTAGAACCGGGCGCGGTCTCGTCCGAGTCGACCCCACCTTGCGAGTTGGGTGGCCAAGTCGCCTCCTGGATGGAAGTCCTACAAAAAGTGGGCATTTAACAACAAATAGACCGAAGAGTAAGATGGCATACCATGACCAAAAACAAATTCTCCTTATCATGGAAACTCCACCACAGCTTAACCACAAACGGATCCCTAGACTCAGCAGCCATCCTTTTCAAAACAGCTTGTTCAGTCAGGGTATGCTGCAACTCCTGATGCGCCAAGACATGTCGCTTCGTGATAGCCTTGAGCGCAAACAAATCCGACGTAGACTTATGCCTAACAAGAAGCACCTTCCCAGCGCATCCCTTGCCCAAGACACGCATCATCTCAAAATCGTCAATGACAACTTTCCGTTTCGATTTTTTGGGCTCTTTCGGTGCAGATGAGGCAGAGCGTTTCTTGCGTGTTCTACGACGATGGCGGCCTGTCGTAGCAGAGATGGAGGAGTCGTCCCCTGTTTCCACTTGTGAAGAAGCGTCATCCTGGCTGGGCACTAAGGAGGTGTATGAACGAGAGAGCCTCGACGACATGTCGGGATCGGCTGATTGGGATCGATGCATGCGGGATATGGGAGCTTCAGAGGCGGGTGTTGCACTGGGGACATCCTCGTGACCTTGGGCGGTTGCAGCATCGTCAACCGGAGCAGCAGCAGTAGCTGAATCTTTATCATTTTGGACGTCTTCTAATCGGGCGGTGGCGTCGACAGTTGCTTCGCCCTCGGGCGCGTGATCAATAACAGGCTCAGCTTCCTCCTCTTCTTTGATTTCTTCTTGCTCCGTCCGTGAACTGACAAGAACCTCCCCATCCAGCTGTACAGAATTGTCCAGCTCCTCAACAAAGATGCTTCCACGATCGCTTGGCGCTGCCCCTGGTCCTAGACTGGTCGAGGTCGAGTAGCTATTTTCCTTGGACAGGCTCACGTGAGCGGCAAGATCAGATCGAACGCGTTTGATAGCCCTCTCCACTCGCACACTCTCCAAATCATCCGTTCGTACTCGGACAAAACGCTTCCACACGCGATCCTTCCGCAGGGTTGCTGAATTGGAGATGGTTGTGAGATATGCGGCGATAGCAGTGCTCATAGCCGACGGTGATTTTACAACAGTCTGGTCAACTTCGCCATCGGTGAAAGGATCGTTGAGTTCTCCAGAGGGCGATGTCAGGGGTGGGGTCGCAGTGGGCATGGAGGTGGCGTTAGCAAATCGGCGACCGACAGAAGACTGTCGCTGGTTTTTACCCGACGTGGGGGACGCCAGGCGTGAAAGGGTATTGAGGAAGGTTGATTTACGTTTTGGAGGGGAGGGTATGGAATCAGGGTTGATGGGAAGGGCAGGGATTTTGACGGTGGGATATGAATCGCGGAGCTTTTGATCAAGCTCGACAATTTCCATTGCTGCACGGGTAAGAGTGAGGTTGTGGGTTGGAGCTGAGAAACACGGTTAGTAACGATATACAATAGGTCAAAGGAGATGGGAGCATAAAGACAGTGGGAAAATCAAACGTGGTGGAAAGGTGTGTGATCGCAAGTTATAAAATAAAGTGAAACGTAAGGAGAATGAACTCACTCTTTATGTAAAGACTGTATGAACGGGGATCGTATGGTGATTCTGCCACGCTGACACTCCAAGGTCCGTCCTCGTTATCCATCCGAAGAGGAGGTCGCCTTGTGGAAGCATGGGGAATATTAGTGTCAATAGCCTTCATATCGTCGATGGTGAGATCAATAACAGGCTGTTGGTCGGTGGGTGTAGTAGGTTCACGTTCGAAGAAAGAGATGTTGGAGACGCCGAAACGATCAGATCCGTTCTTCTTTCTCCTGAATGAGTAGTTTCTGGGTGTGTCGATGCTTTTCCTAGCAGAGAGAAAATTACGACCAAGTGATTCAGTGGCCGGTGTGTCGGTATCGGATGAATCCCTGAACACAACTCCAATTCCAAAAACGGTCCTGAGATTTTTCTTCGGCGCTGGCAATACGTGTGACTTGTGAGAGGAGTTTAAGCTGCCAATACTTGGCATATGATGAGAAAAGCGAGCTTGACGTGCTGGGGTGACGAGGTCGAAGTGGGGACGGGATTGAGGGAGTGGCTTGGACGTCGTTCAACAAAGGAGAATGAATAATTACTGGGGTCAAGGGGTGTGCAGCTGGGGCGTGTTCAAATTTGTAAGGCCACGAGTGTCTCCGTAGTCAAGTCTGCCTCGAGGCTGGCAGTAGTGACTTGGCGGAACCTGTGTTGCGATTGCTATTCAAGCCCACGGATCGAGCAAGACAAAGGAGTGTTGGCAAGATATGAGAGAGGGCAGTGTCAGTTGGTATTGTGAGTGTATTAGATAGGTAGGAATGTACCGACTCCCCGTCCACATGTGTAAAGCAACCACAATAATCCCCCTTTTTCTATTCTTCTCAACAAAAAAAGACTGCTCAGCTGCTGTCAGCCCGAGCTCCCTGCCTGTGCTAGTCTAAACCGTCATATCTGCGCTTAAAGGGACCTATAACTCCTCCTATGCCCACACCCCACATATGCCGCTGATGCATGATGCATCACCGCTCTCCCTTTTACTCCCTCGAATTCGTTCGGACGGCGCCCCAAAGATATTTTCTCAAGCCGCTAGATGTGGCACTAATCCTGCACTGCACTGTAGGCCAACTGTAGGCTATCACGGAGTGGCGGAAAAACATCAACCGCTCGGGCCAACCTGAAGGTTCAGTGGCTCTACGGAACAGGAACAGTGTCATAAAACAGTCAACATGACGCCAATATGACATCTATGCTACGTCTTCAAAATTTTGAGGCTTCATCCATCATGCATGAGAATGGATGAGAAATGGACATGTTTTTGATTGCTTCTCCATCAACCGCCCACGGAACCGCCGAACTTTTACAGAAATCACATTGAACCCGTCTCACTCTTTGCCGCTGCGGTCTCCCAAACGCCCACCGTATGATTTTATCTTACGTGCCTCGAGGACAATTGCCATCATAATATCGCATAAATCTGGAACCGACGTCGACCAGCGGCCATAAAGCGCTTCCGAGTCTGCTAAAGGCCAGAAAACGGAGTCATTCTCAAAGTTACTATCGAGCCGTTGGAAACGGGGCAAGTTCCACTGCTTACAACTTGTTTCCGAGCATCAAGATGTCAAGAACACCAAAAAACGATGGCAGTTACAACAGCATCTCAGAACACGAGCAAGAGCGCCGAACGGTCATTGGAGAAACCGCTTTAATCAAAGCAGACGCTCGGGGATGCTGTTTTACTTCCATACTAAATGCGGGTTGATAGCACAGCTGACCCCAATCTTCCCCGATCAGATCGTCCACCCCAATTTCAGCCCGACGGCCTCTTACTACCACTGCGCCCCGGACCTAGGTACCGTTCAAGTTTGTCAACAACATACATATACAGCGCCGTGATCTCCCCCCTAACCCCGAGCATAGCCCTTGATCATGATCGTGTGTAGATCATACATACATATCTGTCTAAGTAAGCCTGAACAAGTTGTTGGTTGATTAGCCAGGAGCTCACTACACCTTTCATTAGCTTTCCTCGGCCAGTGAACAACCGACGAGCTATCGTGATTGACGCCTGATATCTCGAAATACAACGCTCGGCGCTTGGGTTGTCAGCCACCTGGACCACTCTGCTATCAAATACCGTATGCCAACTCTGGACTCTGAGTCTGGCCGTTAATTTCGTGCCTTGGTGACGGCGGAACGTTCTCCGAGAGGTTCAATGGCGCCTGCCGTCAAACGTTGTATAACAATGACGACTTCCCGTTCTCCCGGTGGTTTTTTACCGTCGGAGGATCGACGCTTTCCCAGTCAACGCTCTCAAAATAATTGTGCAGGGAAGCATCCAATGCAACGTCCGTTGTTTATTTTGAGAACTTTCTTGAATTCATGAGCAACGCCATAGTTGTGTAATTTGGCTGTGAGGAATAAGACGACGGAAATGGTGTCGCTTCAAGTAATTTTAACAAGGTCGCGCGTAATAGGAGGAGGATAAGTTAACTGCGGAGAAGCAGCAGGATCGAAAGGCGATATCTGTAATTGTGGGGCAGTAGGCTGATTGTCTTCTCCGTGATTTGCGCGGGCTTCACTGCGCGAACTAAGCAAGTTGCCTGTATTTTTCTATTCTCGGGATAACAGGATATCCTCGAATGTCCTCGTAATAAATGTGCCGTTTTGAGAACCTCGCCTTGACTGTGTTCTATATATGCTGTGCTCTGGTGTTATAGCAATTCAAATGTGATTCCTCTTACCCATCATGCGTGGAAGCACTTTCATCATCTTGAAAAAAATTAAGACCGCAAATAATTATTTCAAGCCAGATTACAAGTATTTTTTTCTAGGTAGCAAGTCATTGAGCACGCGACCCCGCTTGACGTGACGCGTCTGAATCGTTCACGTGATGTCGCACGTTCATGGTGTCATTGCAATGCTCAGTGGAGTTGGGATGAGAGAGTTTCGGGACGGGTTCCAGCGCTGTGTGTGTGAACTCCATCATCGGAAGTTTGTTTGATTGATTGTCGAAGATTACAACAGGCATCTGCCAGCGGCAACATAATCGAGATTCGAGCGACCAGAGCGCCATTGATACCACAACCACCACCACCAACCTTCGTTACGGAGGATGTCTGAACCGGCAAGCGCTGCGCTGCATGAGCACCAGATCCCGGAGGGTGACGACGACGTCGTGAATGGACACTATGAGGAAGAGGAGGAGGAGGAGGAGGAAGGGGGGGAGGAGGGTGTTGAACTTGGTGATGGAGAAGTCGACGAGGGGGAGGAGAGTGACGAGTATGACGTTGACTTTGAGGTGCGTAAAGTCGAGGACAGCTTGATCTATTCTTGGGCTCACATGTGTATTAGGAGGAAGCACAAATTGTGGGGGACGAAGACGACGATGAGGAGGAGGAGGTCCAGGTAAGTATCAATTTTGACAACCCGCTGCACGCGCCCCTGAGTACGATACTAAATATTTCCAGAGCGGCAGCATGACGGCGCTTTTGCTGGGCAATGTAAGTTGGCCTCGCACCTCTAGCGTTGAGCCCCCTTGCTCATCCTCGTCTGTCGTCATGATCAGCCGAACTTCGAAGAAGAGGAGGAGGAGGAGGAAGACGAGGAAGACAATTGGCATGAAGACCCGCCTCAAGCCCCCACTGCGTCAAGTTCGAAAAAGCGAGGCATTGAAGAGACGGAAGAGGAGGATGGGAACAAAACAAAGAAGGTGAAAGCCTAAACTGGGGGCAGTCCAGTCCCAACTTTCAGGTGCGCGGGATACTTCGCTAGATGCAGAGGTTCGGCGAAGGCGCGGTTTTTTTTTTTGATTTATTCTTCTTTATACCATGCGACGTTGTATGTATTTTCTAAATGTAAAAGTCAAGCTGTCTGTATTCTATTTATCGCTTTTTTCAATGCACCGCTGCGACGTCCTCTCCTACCAATCGCAAAGCCATTGACCAGTGCTAGCAAAGACTAGCAATCACACTTTTCTCTTTCTTTATACTCATCCAGGTACCCCCTTTGGCTGGATTAGGAAGTCCGTGTGTCAAATACTGAATTCGAAGTCTGCCTCTCTCCCATCGCGCGTTGGAGCAAACAACGCGTACACAACATCACGTGGAATGCAAAATGACTTCACGGCGTCCTCGCATCCTGCTTGAACACTTTCATTAGCTACCCAGATACCACTATAAATGCACGCGTCAACGTCAATCAAGGCAAGCCAGATCCCTTCATTTTCACCCATTTCTTGAGCTTTCATTTCGAAATGCACAGAATCAAGAAGCGCGTGTCGCGACTCTCCAAGCAGAAATCGACAGGCTCCAGGAAGAACTTGGGTTCGTCTAGTATATCCTGATGAGCTTCATAAATTGATCAAAAAAACGCGCATATATTTTACCAGCGAGGGCGTAGATGCTAACGAAGTTGTCAAGCGACATATTGTCCTGCTTCATCGATATAATGAAGCGAAAGATGCGACCCAGGCGAGTTTTCTGAATTTGACTGGGCTCTTAATCTATGTGCTTACGCTGCGTTAGATACTTATTGGAAGAGTGAGCTCGTGAGGCCAAACTAAGTACCGTTTTAAGTTCTGACCCTTCTTTCAGCTCGCAACTCTGAAAGACTCCACGATTAGGCAAATTCACGACGATTACGAGTTGAAAGACACAGATTGAAAGTTGAAGTTCACTTTGCTTCATACCTCACTTATCCTACATCGTCCGATATGATAGATATCCAGCTTGTCCCAGAACCCGCCCAAATCCCATCGATAACTTCTTCTCCTCCGTTCCCTTCGCCTGGCGGCCAGATCTTGACAGGGAGGAGCGCGTCCTCGGTCGTCCCAATCCCCAAGTTTCCATGTTCGTTCCAGCCCCAGCCCCACACCTCTTTTCCCAGGTCAGATTGCAGAAGCGTCAATACATGCTCGCTTCCGCATGCTAGAAACTTCGGGATGGCGTCGTCAAATATGACTATTCCGGGTCCGATTTGACCGCCACCGCGACCTAATTGTCCGTGAGAGTCGCTCCCAGTCGCATATATGCCCAGTTTAGACTCCTCAACTTCGACAATGGCGTAGGTTCCATTCCACGTACACCCGACCTGTCGAAATCGAGACTGGGGGATTAATTCCAATTGTCCTTTTTTGTTCGAACCCATGCCAGTTACCCGTCCAGAGGAGCGCAAGAGGACGCTGTGTTGAATACCGAGAGATGAGGATACCACAGGGTCGTTTGGGTCGTCGACAGAGATTATTCTTGGAACTGGGAAAAAGGGGAGAGGTTTGCCATCGGAATTGGCTACGCCGCCTATTTGACCATGACGAGAGGTGCCCCAGCCAACAATGATACCGCAGTTCAAGCCATCAGACAAGGATACGTCCATGTGAACCAGAACGTGGTGCTGGCCAGATGTTATTGAGTTGATCGTCATTGCACAAGAAGGAGGAAGGGAATGACCATCCACGACGAGATGGTCAAATCTGACGATGTTGATTGGGTTTGCGACACGTTTGCCCTTTCCCTTTGCGTTTCCGACGCCCAAATCTCCAAAATCGTCTGCTCCTAATGAGATCAAGATGTCTCCTCTGCTCTCGGAAGCAAGAACGATATATGTTGTCTCCCAAGACGCGGATATGAACTTGTAAGAGTAATCTTCCGAATCAAGATCCAGCTCGATGGGTCGAAAAACTGACGATGAACAACCAGCGGAGATCGATTCCTGGTATTTCAACCCTAGTTGGCCTGCTCGGCCGTCTCCACAACCCCATAGTTCCCGTTCACCGTCTGTACGTTCGAGGAGCAACAATGTGTGATTCGCCCCGCTGGCGACGTTGAGGATCTTTGAAGCTTCTGAAGGCAATTTCCCCGGTTCATAACCGAGAAAATGACACGGATGGAAGGTGTGCGCGTCTTCCAAAGACCCATTTCCCAATTGGCCATGGGCGTTGGAACCTGATGAGAGGAGAGTCCGTGCCATGAACACCTGCGACTCTTAGATCAGATCTCGACGAAGCCTGGTATTTGGCCTTGTTATGCAACAGCCAGCTGTACAGTTGCTGTTCAGCCACCCAGACCCATTCAAGGAAATCCGTAAGGCGAAGTTCATAAAACCCGTCCTCATCATGTCGTCCGACCTCCAATGGCTTCTCCTCCGCGTTGGTTGTTTCGCACAGGCGTCGAGCTTACTGAAACTGATTGTGTGTTGTAGGGAAACAACTCCTTCATCGTGAAGCGAGTGCCAGAGGGCCCCATCTTCTCCAAGGAGCCTGTACGTTCCCTTACCGTTTCTGTGGGAGGTCCTTATTGACACGTCGTTGTTGGATAGGGTAACCTCCGCAATATCCACTCATACAAATACTCTGGACTCGCCAACTCAAAGGTTGGTTCGCGTCGATCGATCGAATTGGAATGTTGACGAGTAATTTATTGGGGCAGGTCGTCGACGTCTCGGAATCAGCGGGTACCGTCAAGATCAGCACCCGCAAGACAAAGGCGTCGCCTCGCGCTGTTAACCCTGCTACTGCCACCTCGACTATCCGCCCACGCTCAGGTGGTCGTCGTGCGCTTGGAATTGCTGCTGGACCTGCGAAGCGTGGATATAGGCCTGATCTGCGAACTGTGAGTTTTATCTTATATACTCGCGTTTTGTTGGTTTTTTTTTTGTGTTTCTGTTGCGATTGGATTGTTGTTTGGATGCACTCTCGTTAGAACCCACTGGAATCATCGCGAGGTGATATGAAGGTTGGGCGTGGACATGTTTGCAAGATTGACCCCTCTTCATTGGAGTCGATCAAACTCCGATGGATACCTCGCCATGTCGCTATCGGGCCCCGTTCGTTGCTCACCGCGGAGGATCCGACTCTTTGGCGCTAACATTATTTCTTCTCTTCTTTTCTCTTCGTGTTCGAACGTTTTCTCTTCCTCTTTGTCTTTGGATTAGAAAAGGATACTGACATATCTTAAACTCACCAGGCCACCCTCGCCCGTGTATCCGCCCTCATCGCCGCACAAAAAGAACCCAAGCCAACCCCAGCGAAGAAGGTTCGGGGCAAGAAGGCCCAGGCAGTCTCAGCTTGATTGCTCGTGTAGACGTTCTCTTTTTTCTTTCGCTTTCTTACGCACATATGGTCATGCCACAAGCAAATATATGTATGATTTACGACCAGGAAAGGAAGAATTCGGAAGTGTTCAACGGCGTGCTTTTCCCCGTGGCGATACAAGTACACTATAATACAGAAACGAGAAGGAAGATGCGACTATCGTACAAGATAAGAAAAAGAGAGAGAAGGCGGACCACTCCAACATCGCATGGCTTGTTCAGCGCTCAAAGTCCAAATCCCTTCGCAGGCTGAACGATCCTCGCCCCGGCCTTGTACGCAGGAACAGAGTCCCTGGTGGGTCTCGTAGACTCCGCCTTCCACTGCGCATATTCCTTCGTCTTGCGCTCAGCATCGTGCTGTCCGTGCTTCCGCTCCTTCTTGGGCGAGTTTTCTTCCTCATGATGTTGTTGTTGCTGATGTGCCCCTTGCTCGTCACCCCCTGGCGCAGCGGGCCTAGGGTAATCAGGGGCGGGCTCCCTCTCCGTGGGAGGGGTAGCTTGACTGTAAGGTTATTTTGTCAGGCTGTTCAAGTTAATCCGCTGAGCTGGCTGGCTGGGGTACTTACGGAGCGGCGCTGTGGGGCTTGTGAAGCTTGGAAGTGGAAATAGAGAGGCGGCGGCCGCCGACTTTGACTGTTTGACGTTTAATGAGGTTGAATAGTGTGGTTAGGTGTGATAATGAGAGGAACTTGCCTGCAGGCGGGTGCTGGAGGTTGTCTGACATGGTTGAATGTCAAGACGTATATTCAGAGTGCCGTCGACGTCAAATTCAATGGCCCATGCAATTGCTCCGAGATCGGACCGACGGGTTCACGTGCTCACAAGGTATGTTCGCGGAAATTCAAATTGTGTATCTATTGTCTCCGTACCAGTTCCGTACCTTGCCTTTGCAAATTCTCCATCCACACAAAACGAAAATGGACGAACCATCTGCATCAACGTCAAAACAGCCTCCTCGTCGCCCTCGAAAAAGAAGACGCGACGCGCAGAAAACGGCGACACAACACGACGCTGCCATTCTCACCGAAGGATCTGGAAACTATGCTCCATGGTTGGACACGATACCCGAGAAAACATATTCTTCTGCCGAGGAAAGGTAGTAAAGTCCTGGCGTGTCATGACTTTAGCTGAAGGAACGCAAAAAGACTTCACGATGAGATAGTCGCGTGTGCGAACTTTATGCGGCCCACACCTGAAGAACACACTGCTAGGATACAGCTCTTCTCGTGCGTTGAGCGATTGGTGAAAGCTCGGTTTCCTAGGGCTGATGTGGAACCGTATGGGAGTGCTACGACGGGGTTGACGTCGTTGAATAGGTTCGTGAGTACGTGCGGTTTTGCCTTGATAACCTAACAAGCGTTTCTTTTGATAGTGACTTGGATATATGCGTATCCCCGAACCAGGATGTGAACGTCAAAAACGCGCTGTTTCAGCTGGCATCAAGATTGAAAAACACGGGGTTAGCCAATCATGAAGACGTATTCGTGAACCACTTTGCGCCTATCCCCATAATGATTGTAACCACTCGACCGGACTATGGTATGTCTTCTTCACAACTCATCCTTGACCCGTACTCTTAACAAAATGCGAATAGGGTCAGTGGCGATCGACATCGGAATCAACAACGTAGACGGTTTGCAAACAAGAGACCTAGTCAAATCCTACCTCGAGCAAATGCCAGCCCTTCGTCCCCTCATCCTCGTCTTCAAACGATTCCTCGAACAGCGCGAGCTGAACAATGCTTCAAAGTCCGGTTTGGGAAGCTACGCTGCCACCCTTATGTGTATAAACTTCTTGCAGGTTTGAGAGTTTCAATGTTTGATCATAAACTGGTATGCCTTACTTTTTCTCTTCAGACAAACCCATGTCAAAGACCTCGCGAAGTCCTCGACAATCCATTCAAAATGCGATCATTGGGGACCATTCTTTTTGATTTTCTCAATTACTACGGATCGCAGTACCCCCATGACGATAGCGTGTACATGTCCATCTCCGAAGGCAAGGTTCTCGAATCCGACTCTGCTGAAACGAAGAAGCTGAGATTAGATATTCGATGTCCAATTAGTGGAGGTATGTACCAATTACATCCTTGCTGGATCTTACTTACCAAGTACATTGATTCGTCTATCAGGAAACACCGCGAAATCTTTAGGAGCAAGTTTCCTCAAAGACATGATACGCTCGTTCAAGCTCTGCTCCGCGGCTATCCTTCAAAGCGGGGCTACGGATAGGAATGTCCTTGGTCCTGTCGTTTCCGTGGACCAGAATGTAAGTGAACTGCATTCCCGTCCTCCTGCACTTCAATTCCAACGCACCTTGTCGGCTCTAGATGATAGACAAAAGGACATGCATCCACGACTTTGTTCACTCCGGGAACCTCGATGAGCTGTGTAACTTCGTCGCCCAAACCACATCTCGTTGGCAGAACTACAAGTCCCAATCTGGTAGTGGTGCATTCGTCATGCCAGCCCTTTTGCCTTTTCCAGGGAGTGTGGAGAAGAGTGACGAACAGCAGCAGCGATGTTTTCCCGAGTCTTCAAGGCATGGGGATCGTTCGGTGCTTGATGGCAATGGTGTGAATGACACTGCCAAGCTTCCGAGGAAACGGAAACGTCGAAGACGTAATACCGTAACCAAACCTGAGTGATGACGGAACGCTCTTCGCTTTCTGTACAAGGTTCCGAGCGGTGTGTCAATGGAGTGGCGCTTTCTTGGTGACAGGGAATTGCTGAGCAGTGGGAGCTTCAAGGGAAGCGTATGTTGGGAAAAACGGACAAAAGTTGGAGCCAAGTGATTCTCATGCCATTCAATCATACTTGGATCTGGAGAGGCGGTCAAGGTGCTTCAAGGTGTTGATTGATAAGACTCTGTCTGCCGTACATTCCAGGCGCCGGTTATCTTACCATACCTGTACTTAAATTGCAGAGCGATCTTGAAGTGCATGGCGCGCCGTATATCAAAACAACTCTTTACGAACCGCAAGAACAATATTTACATTTTCTGAGAATGGAGTAGGCTCGACGAGTCAGCTTTTCTGCAAGAAGGTCATTGCTATCAGTTAGGATATTTGAGGCCCAGTTGGGCCAAGAGTTTCAGCCCGTCAGCTCTGTAGTTATCGAGCGTGATGCTCGGCGAGCCAAAAATAGTAGTAGGAAAGGTGAGTAATTGCGGAGACGCAGGCGTATACTGCGGCCACACGACGCCTGTGCCGTTGTTCGGGTTGAGCGTACTGGTGAACCGGACGATGTTGTCGTCCAAAAGGTCGATCTTCAAGTCGCTGCCGTGAGACTTTTTGCAGAGAGGAAAGGGTTAGTTGATTGAAAAGGGTAGAAAATTCATGGTCATGATACTCACGGATCCGACAAGCGCAAGTGGGAAGTATTTGGAGCGTTTACTCACTGTTTAAATTCCACGAGTCATTTGAGAGGCCCTAAACTCGGAGGAAGTAGAAACTCACAGTAAGACCAGGTCTTTTGTTTCCCAGAGCGCTGTTGGAGGAAGAACCTTCGCGGGGCTTGGAAGACCGAGTCGCCTTGGAAAGCCGCGATGCGCTTATATTGGCCTATATCCCAGAGAAGGCCTGTGCCAAATGGTGACCCAGCTCTCGGGACATCGGGGTATGCGCTCCATAAAGGCGCGAGTTCGGAATCAGGCGCTTTGGGAAGGAAATTTGTTTTGATGTACTCTCGGAATTGGGCATCGTTGCTGAACATAAACGTATGAACGCCTATCGGGAAAGAGAGGTAGTGCCAACTAACGTTACGTTCAATGACGAGAATGCGAAGGCGGTTCCTTCATCGTCGACATTCCCTGGGTGAATGTGATGTCAGATAATATTTATATTTTTGACATTGGATGGACATACCCGTGACAAAAGGGATATCCGCAACCTTTCCTTCCTGCACCAGCTTCAGCGGGTTATCGGCGAGAAAAACCCCATCGGCGCGGGGAACCCATGCGAGTGACAAAGACTGTTAAATGGCTTACAAGATGATGGCTACCAGCGTGAATGTAAGTACAAACCTGGTAAGAAAGCACATTCGGGCTCTTGTCGACGGCAGCCTGCAACGCATCAGAGGAAACGCCGCGCAGGCACTCAAGGGTGTCAATAGTTTTAGAACATCCGGTGTCGGCGACAAGAGCGTCATAATATTTCTAAGGCCAAATTGAGCCATCGTTTTAACATTTCAAAGAAATAGCGTTACCTGTCCGTCGGAGATATCACCAATGGGAATTGGTGCGCCTGATTGCATAAAGCCTCCACGAAAGAGTCCATTCGTAATACCGCCATTCGTCAACATATGGAGCGAGACGGAGATAGCGCCTGCGGACTGTCCCCATCTATAGGACAGAAATCAGACTCGATATGGATTCGCGGAAAGAGCCTCACAGTGTGACCTTGGTTTTGTCCCCACCAAATGCTCCTATATACTTCTGTACCCAGAGAAGTGCTTCGCGCTCTGAAATAAAATCGTTAATACCCACGAAAAAGGAGAGAATGGTTAAATGGACATATATACACTCACGGTCGTGAAGGCCCAGATTGCCGAGGCCAGCCTTTTTGACCTCAGCGCCAGGCAGAAAACCCCAAGCTAAAGATTCAAAAGGATATTAGACCCGTCAAATTAACTGGACCGATAAAGTCACCAGAGACGCTTTTAATAGGCTGAGAACGCAACTTATTAGCAAGAGGTGGAAAGAGTCTCACCGATAATTCATGGAGACGTAAATAAGAGGTTGGCCCAGTTCAAGCGAACGCTTAACGAGGCGAACCCCAGTATCGTCATACCTGACCAAAAATATATATGTCACTGCAATCCAAAATATTTTGGTGGATCAACGCCTACGAGACAGTATCTCCAAATTCAAATGCACCTGTAATTATATTTAATCATCAGTTGATCGCGACATAGAGGTACCATCGTGGCTTACCGCCGTAAATCCACTATGGGCGACCCGCAGTTGAGCTTTGAGTTTATGAGAAAAAACAAGAGAAAACATACGACCAGAACGGGTAGCAGCACTTGAGTCGAAATATTTGCTGCTGGCTTGATGACGTTGATCGAAAGACCTGGAGCAGTATATATCAGCGACAGCCAAAGAATTAGGGGCCAGGAATTAAGTTCACAATCCTCGTCGCTCTCGAGTGCATCCGTCGCCTGTAACCTGGAAATTTTCAGGGCGCCATCGATCTGGTCGGGACTTAGCGGAGAGCCTGCAACGTCAACCGTGGGGGAGCCGGAATCTGCAGAGGGGGTCTGTTGGGGGCAAGCGGGGCCATACTTAGTGGCACTCAAGGTGCCCTCGTACGGAGGCACAGCGACAGGAAGGCGAAAGCGGCGGTCGCCTTTTCTGAAATAAAGTGATAAGGGTCAGTTTACCGAATCCCACAGAGCGGATTAGGGCAAATAATGACTTACGGAGGTTGTGCAAAAGGGATGCCCAAGAATTTCGAAACCGACCCTGCGCCCAGACCAGTGACGATGGCATTGTCCAATCTGACGGTGGGGGAACCAGCGAGGGGAATACCCAGAGTAGCAGTAGTGGAGACGGCGAGCAGAACGCCGATAGTGAGCAACATGGTAAAAGTCGAGAGAGGACGTTCGCCTGAAATCTGAAGAAACGGGGGAGAGGCATGTCGCCAAGTTATACGAAAAGTACAAGTGGGCGATCAGGAAGTCAGCGATTCCACTTCGCGAAATGGATAGCGAAGCTCGAAATTTTCTCCGCGCGGATCCCATAACTTGACAGCAAATGATAATAAATCGAATACTCTTCGTTCCCGTGTCAACATCGTTGATTAATAAAAGCGAATAAGGTGCACGAACCAGATGCCGGACTCGCTTCGAGTCTCTTGTATTGTATCAGCTGTTGTTTATGCGCATTTTGGCGTGCGCTACTCTAAGGTCGAGCAACGAACCGAAAGTCATATTCTGGTATAACTCGTTCGAATTATCGGCGCTACTTTTATCCCGCTAGAGCAAGAGATACGATCTTGCGAGCTCTTCAATCGTGAGGGTATCTGCAAAAGTGGCGTTGTTTCAAGTTGATCGTTCACGGGATTGCAAATAACGCGTAAACAATTGAACATGCACAGCCACTGAGTGCCCTTGATGCCGACTAACGCCAGAGCTCTTCATCTCTGTGAAGTTCCATGCTGAAGAGTGAATAAAACACTCCGCGTAGTCAGGGAGATAGACGATGTTACAAGAACTCCGGTGAATACTTATTTGCTGTAGTTGGAGAACATATGTTATGTCCAAACTTGAAAATAGAAAAACTGTCATCAAACTGTCATTCAAATTTCATCGAGGATATGGCATGGCGAATTTTCACAAAGACGCTAGACGACCAGAAACCTCCGTATCTTACCAGGGTTACTGTAACGAGGAGTCGAAAAGATCCTGAAAATTTTATACCTACGACGCAGTTTCTAAAAATTCGTATGCACTTGTGATTTTACATAATTCCGTGAACACCGAAAATTCTTTTTCTGGGCGTGACGTGACTAGTCACCTGACTAAGCACAGCTTTCCCTTGCTCTTTTCAGAAGTTCAGACGGTCCTGCGCCTCGTTCTTTCGCGTCTCGACCGGCGGAAATGTATAAAAAATATCCCTCCTCAATTATGGAAGGCATACTGGTCCTTTTGTCAAAGGATTAGTTATATTTTGCCATGTTCTCAGCCTTTGTGCATGACTTTTCAAACAAGCCTGACAAAACAGTGGGCCAGGTCTTTATTTAACCCCTCTCCAATGCACTAAGCCACCATAAGTATGTAGCTCCAGATCTTCAGGTAGCGAAGGTGTCATGAATGTAACTCTTCACTTCATTTTGAGCCGTTGGCACAGTTATCAGAACGCGGGAAAATGTCTTTTTTGGGCAGGTAAGTCACGTCACGCCCAAAAAAAGAATTTTCGGCGTTCACGGAATTAGGCTCTGGTGCCATGTCTGGGACACCTTATGTCCATATATAGACATAATTTATGTCTATATTGAGACATGTCCAAAAAAAGACATAAGGTCGTCCAAAAACAGACATAAGCCATCAATCTCACACCCACGCCCAAATAGGCAGCTGCTCAAGCAGTTCACCTCCTCCTACTTACTGGCTTTTCTTGCTGTGCTATGCGCCGCAGGCTGGAAAAATATTTTAATAGCTCACTTAACTTGTGTAAAATTGTAGGATACATTAATATGAACCCAGAATGCATTTTTGAATCATTGGAAAGGGAATTTGTGCTGTTCTAAGCATAAAGTCAGTTCCACTTGATGCAATTGCTCATCAAAGTATGTATCCATGCTAGTAGAATATCTCAGAGTATGTGGAAGTACTTTACATGCACTTCTTCCTCCTAATGGCAGGTTGCTGCACCAAAGGCAATGAAAAGACAGAATCAATGGGTAAAAAGAATTGTTGTACTGCTATAAAATGCTGATACAGGAGCTGCTGGTATGTTGTTAATATTTCCTCACATAGTCTTGGCCTTCATATATAAAGAATTTGTAACAATTTCAAGATCTGGTGTGTTACAACAAATCTATCTGAAATTGAAAATAAATCTGTCACAATTGAACAACCCTTGCTATTGATCTATAATTTTACATATGTAATCAGTGTCAAGTACCCTGCTTCTTAAATGCACATTTTTGAAAAGGATTGAAACACTCTCAGCCGTTCCAGACATGACACTAGAGCCATCATTATTCCTGTTCATTGTTATTTTCAGTACTCTATACTTGTTAGCATAACATGAGGAACTTGAACATAAATCTGCTTTGCAATTAATCTGAGCTCTTGGCCTAATCTCCTGTCTTGTAGTTTCATGTGTAAAAATGCATGTGGTTTTTTTCTTCGCTGTTTTCCAACCTGTTTCCTCATAGTTGTGGCCCCAGATGGGTGCCTGGCCCATTTTTAAATGGTAGATAGGGAGAGGATATACTTCACAAATTTTCATAGCAATATGTCAAGGTTCTACTGAGATACATATTTATGATTAAATTATCTCTGTGAAAAAAAAAAAGGATGTCAACCGCTGGAATTGAACTTGGGCTGGCCATAAAAGGAGATCAAAAAAGCGCAATATTCCACTACACTACACAGCCTTATATTATACATACATGTAGTTACCATATATGTAATTTTTGAAAAACGGGGCTCTTGTCCCAGACATGACACCAGAGAATTATGCAAACGGCTGTAAAGAATATAGGTTGAACACACACAGATTTTACTCAAAGTGAGAAGTGTTGCCGTCATAATTTCATTAAACGAAAACTGTGACTACAACGACAGGCAGACAAAAGCAGCGGTCACCTTTCGTCTTGTCTGAAAATGAATGGAATTCGTTCGATATATGAGTTGAACGAATTGGAATTGCATAAACTTACGGGAATTGTGAGGAATTTCAGAACCTGACCGGTGACTAGGGCGTTGTCCAGTTTGACTGTCGGCGATGCCCGCGAGGGGAATACCACAAGCGCTAGTGAGGACACTGACAAACCAAATATAGCTCCAATATGATTTCGGTAACAAAAATCAAAGCATGACGGTAGACTGAAGCTTCAGGGTGTCCTGAAGGAAGGACCTCAGATATGGGATATGGGTAACCAGGAAGACAATAATTCCACTTCGCGAAAGGTTGGCGAAAGGCGTTTCAATTACGGAGCTGAAGTGACGAATCGCACAAGGCAAACGAAGGCACAAAAACCTGTCAGGAATCGTCCGTTGTCGATGCGTCATTCTAAAATTGAAGTGGCAATCGGTTGGGACTTGACTAGCTTGAGCACTGAGCGCTGAGCATCAAATGTTCATCGGTGGTGTTAAAGGCTTAAGACAAAAATAGGCTGTAAAGTTAAAAATATGGATGTATGTATGTAAATATAAACTGTGACGTGTCAACTTCACCTCTACCCTCGGTAACACTGAGCTGCGTTCGCTGCCACAGTGAGTGGGCACTTCTGACTCTGAGCACTGCAATTAGCAAGCACTGGGGGTCACGCGTTGGTGAGCGATCAATCCTTCCAAACAACGCGTACACGAACAAAGTTGTGGTCCAATGTTTCTCTTGGCTTCCTCCCTGGCCAGCGCTCGTTTCACGGAGCAATTCTCCTATTTCGCTTGTATTTCGGCCGCCGCTGTGAGACTCGAGACTCCCATTGCGAGGGCCTCGGAGGTTGTAGAAACCTCAATGGTTCTGAGCATGAGCAAATACTTCGAAAAGTTTTTGACACGACAGTACTTTGTAATATGGTGAGTCCAGATGTAAATGCGCATCCAGCCCACTCTGAGCCCTGCCTTGTAAGTTGTTGCAGACTTGTTACGTCGATCAAACGTCGATCATTTTGCACGAATTTCCCCAGCTTTGGAGACCCTGGATATGGAATTCTTACGTAATGCAGATCCTTGATGACTTGGTCAAGAGAGTTCAGAGCTGCTCAGAGCTTGCTTGAGAACTGCGTTCATGATGCGACCTTGAAGCTGAGGCTCACCGCATCTTTCTCGTAAGAACGGGGAAGAACTACGGTTTATTCTCTTCCGTTGCCATCCGAGTGACATGGCCAACAACCCCGCAAGTAACTCACTTGGGCTGGAATTTGTCGGAAACAGTTCCTGGGTGTCGTGAGTGTTGGGTTTTCCCACCAAAATTGTTACCTAAATGCCTCATCAATCTTTTCTTTATAGAAACCTGCAGGATATCTGTCAAACCTTGTCTTGGCCTTCTTTATATACCCAGACACTAGTTCCTGTCATCAGAGTTTTCCTTCTCGTCCGTTTATCCCCCCTCGCTCTCTTGGATCGATGATCCTGTCACTCTTTTCACTCACCTGTCTTTTCTTCTTCCCTCTCGTGCGCCGTTCAATGCCTTCTCCTTTGCTCCTCTGACGTTCTGTTCTGTCATTTTACAGGTCTCACGAGCCGACCCTCATGGTCACTCGAGCATCCACAATGTTCATAAACACCATGACAGTACCACGGGGAACAGTGTCCATAAGCACCATGACACTACCACGGGGGACACTCTCGAAAAGAGGCAGGGTACCCAGGGCCTTTATACGGTTCTAAACTGTCTTCGCTTTCAGGCTTTTCTCTAATGTCGTTTTTGCTTCGTAGTTCCTCGTCTCAGGTTATGCCGTGTCTCTTATTTCCACAGTAGCAATCAACAACAAAATCTACTTCATGGACAAGAAGTACGATCCTGGCAATACGACTGGAGCTTACGAGTTAGATCCAAGCTTGGTGGGCGCCGGCCCATGGCAGAATTCATGGAGGAGTAGGTGGCTTTGGAACATCTCAACATTCTGCAATTATTGACTCCCAATCGGACTTACTTAGCCATGAATGTCAACGATGAAATCTTCTGCTCCGCTGGTCTCATTCTTCCCGACAAGACTGGCAGGCTTCTTAACATTGGTGGATGGTCAGATGCCGCTCTATATGGCATTCGACTTTACACTCCCTCTGGAAGTCCCGGCGTAGCCGGTAATACCGACTGGCAAGCCGATTACAATAACGCGGTGCTTCAGGTACGTTGTTCAAATTATGAAGTCCACTCTCTATATCTAATGTGTATGACTCGACATAGCGACCCCGGTGGTACCCGAGTGCTCTCATCATGGCCAATGGTAGCATTTTAATCATGGGTGGTGAGGATAATAACAGCGGAAATGAGCAACCCAACTTGGAGGTCCTTCCACGCATCCCTGGCGGGGATACGACAGTGTACCTTGACTTCCTTGCGCAAACATACCCATTCAATCTCTATCCTTTCCTCATGGTACTTCCGAGTGGTAATCTTTTCACTGGTAAGCTTCATCTTCATCATCTTTCTTGTTATTACCATCTAACGGAATGCGTAGTTTATTTCAATCAGGCCCGTATCCTCGACAAGGTGACTTTCAACACCATTTCGCAAATGCCAAACGTCCCTGCACAAGGCGTTGGTAATTTCGATGGTGGTCGAACATACCCCTATTCGGGTGCATATGTCATAATGCCTATGACCGCTCCGTATACCGCTCCCATGCAAGTCCTTGTTTGCGGTGGCGCGTCTCAGGAGAACGTTGGACTTAGTACCTGTGTCTCTATAACTCCCGAAGTTCCTGGTGCGCAATGGGTCGTGGAACAAATGGTGAGATCATACCGATTTCTCAACTCTGCCTGATGCTAATATTGCAATACCCAGCCTTCGCAACGTGTTATGTCCTGCATGGTATACACTCTCCTTCTCTCGATTTAATTTGTGGTAAACCTTTCGTTACAGGTCAGTCTTCCGGACGGCACGTACATAATCTTGAATGGAGCACACATCGGAGTGTCAGGTTTCGCAAGTGCCAGCTCCCCTAACCTCACGCCAGTCCTTTATGATCCTTCTCTTCCTGTCGGACAACGCATGCGCGAGCTCGCCTCCACCACCCTCGCAAGACTCTACCATTCCGAGGCCGTCCTCTTCATCGACGGAACCATTATCGTGTCGGGCTCAGATCCACGGGACCCCAACTACCCACAAGAATATAGACATGAGGTATTCACCCCACCTTACCTGCTAGCCGGCAAGCAGCGCCCAGCATTCGCCGTCGGAAACAATCAATGGGCTTATGGCGGCCAATACGCTATCAAGGCCAAGTCACCTTCAATGGCCAATTTACGTTTCTCCTTGCTTGCTGGTATGATTCATCTTCAGTCAAGTAATGAACCATGTCTCACTCTTGATATCCAGGTTCCTCGAGCACACACGGCAATACTATGGGAGCCCGAACATTGTTCCTTGACTTCTACTGCGTCGGCTTCGCCTGCCTCCTCACAGCTCCCCCCAACTCGGGAATTGCCCCTCCTGGTTGGTACATGCTCTTCATCCTTGATGGCCCAACGCCCTCCAAAGGAATCTGGATTAGGGTCGGTAATGACCCCGCTCAGATTGGCAACTGGCCCCCTGGCCCCGCATTCACCAGGCCTGGTGTTTAAGCTGCTATCTCCATTTTCTACAGACATGCTGGTATCTACTACGCTTTTACCTAATTACCTCGTCTTTTTTTCCGTCATTTTACGATTGTTTTTCTCATGTTGGACCATGACCCTCCGGGATATTACTCGTGCTACTTGTCAACTGCTGCGAGGTATTGTTATCCATATCAATTATGTAGACTTGCACCGATTTTACCTCTGGAATATACCTCTACATAGTGATGTACCGTCCAAAAAGTAACTCACTATTCAAGAACAATGACTGGTTAGACATCATACACAACGTTTTATTCTCGGATTGCCAGTAGCTAGCTAAGCACATTGGACGCAATGATATGAACTACATAGCTAGCTCAAAGCGCGTTGATGAGTCGAATATCTGGACAGTATTACTACAATACAACACATGTCAAAGACCACTAAGTAGATTTGCAGTGTGCATCACATCCGCTTCCGCTCTCAAGGCCGTTGCTGTTTCAAACGATGCAGGTCAACCTTCACGCAAGTCCAAAAGCAGGGCTGCCTCAGAAGGGACAGGCGAGCGAGAGACCGAAGAGAACAGCCAGCGCGTTGGCCCTAAACCATAAAGTCGTCGAGATGTTTGGACTTCAAACTCTGAGAAAAGAACCTTTATGGTCCAATAAATTGTACGTGATAGCAAAGTTACAGCAGATAATTCGTGCGAACCAAGATAACAGAAGGTATATCGAATAGAGACGTGTAGGTCAGGCCATACCAATTTTGCAACCCATGATCCGCACTAGATTATAAGCCAAACTCAGCACCACGTTGCTCGAAAAGATGAAGAGAAAACGTACCAGTACCATCAGGTCCACCCAGACCGTACAGCATTTCAGTTGGATGAAACACGAGAGAGCTGGAACGTGGAATGAAGGGGGAGGGTAAACCTCGAGGGTGGCTTGTCAAGCCCGTGGAGATATTGAAGGCGGAAAGAGGTGTGGGTTTATCCAGGGGTTGGACAATCGTGCGTTGAGACCTCCAATATGCTGGGCTGACAGCAGAAGTTCTGCAGAGAAGTAACATCAATACAAAACTGTTTAATGCCACTTTGAACTGCACTTACGCGGCAAAGACGCTCGAATGAGGGTGGACGTCGAAAGTGGAGAGTCCTTGTTGATGAATGTGCCACGATTGCGTGGGAGAATCAGAGCCTCGTAGATCCCAGAGTTTCACCTGGCCATCCACGCTAGAGTACGGCAGGTTCAGTGACACGAACCCCAAGAGAACATAGACACTGACCTTGCAGACAGGAACCTTCCACTTAACTTCGGATGGTACCGTACGTTTTGCACCCAAGATGTGTGATCAGAATAGGACCTCACTATAGCCTCATCATCTTCAAGTCGACGGTCAAACACCTTGAGGGTGCCATCAGCAAAACTCGCAATGAACGTTTGAGAAGAGCCAGGGTCCGAAGTTATGGATGTGACAGGACTGTCTGAGTTAGTTTCGAGGTCCTAAAATAACTTGAGATCAGGTTATCAAAAAAAAAAACAAGTTGTACTCACTAGGCCTTGAGTCTCAGTTTGTGCATCCCAAACCTTGATGACCCGGGAATCGCCTCCCACGAGTAAGATACCTGCCGACTGCTTCCAATCCATGATCATGCCAGTGCCTTGTCGTAACTGGACGACTTCATTCAGACCTCGGAAGGCGCTGACCATTTGTAAAGGTCCCTGTTCCAAAGTTGGATCATAATTCCGGTACATACGTACGATGCCATCAGCTATCAAACATGAGAAAGTGAGGGGTTAAGCATGAATCAAAAGACGCACCAGATCCAGTTAAAATGAGACCACCTACGTCCTGGTTGATGATGTCGAGTGACGTGATGCTCGTACCTCTGGGGTTGCCATTGCAAAAGTAGTTGAGACGCTTCTTTGCTAGCCAATCCCAGACACTGACGATTTCGTTAGCAGATCGCAAACACATTGAACACGATGAATATAAACCTGATCATGTCGCTCTCATTTGCGATGACAAGGTGCTGATCATAGGAGTGGAAAGCCATGGTCAAGGGGTACCCCTGTACTTGGAAAGTCGCCACTGTTTTATCCCATCTGCCTTTCTCTGTATATCATGATAAGACAAGAATGTGATGAAGCCAAATAATTCATTTACCCGCTGCACAAGCCTGCGAGTCTGTCTGTTCGCAAATCCGCTCGTTCCTCTGTTGTCTCCAGACTTGGTAGTTGTATTGAATGCTTCCAGGCTCGTCACTCTCAGATTGCTATGGAACCAAAGTATGTTGTTTAGCAAGAATTTCTTAGATAATTGAATACGCACTCTCATTTGAGGCTCCTTGAAATACTCGCAGCACCAATCAAAATACGTGCTCTTCAGCGGCAGAACATCCCTTATGCCAGCACCAGTCCCAAGGCCTAAAATTACGCTCGAACTCGTCGAATCCATCGAGAAAGTGCTATTGCTCGGGCTGGGCATCGAACCCCCAGCCGCATGACGATGCTTGTGTGATGGCGCAGTAGATCTTCGCCTTGCACGAAGTCGCTCCAAGTCCTCCTCTATCAATGCCTCCATGACATCGCAGGGCAAGAAATCTATCACATTTTGGCTTTGCATATCGTGCGAGCCTCGGGGTGGAGAAGGGGTTCTCCTATATGCCCCTCCATGGCCATGGCCGTAACCTCCCTGTGGAGTGGTGGGCCGTGAGTAAGGCGACGTGTATTGTGCTACGTTGAGATTGGGTGAAGGCGGACGTGAGATGTCTGTCACTTCGGGCTGGAAATGAACATGAGTGGAAACGATAGGTGATGCTCGTCCGTCGTCCGATGAAGATGGGAAGGCGATGCCGTTCGCCAACGATTTCAAGGCGTTGGCAAAGGATGAGGTTCGACGAAGGGTGTTTGATACGCCACTAGATATGGTGCTTGTCATGGTGTCACTTCGAGTGAGACCGGGTCGATCCCCAGTAATGGGTGAGGGGGGTGAATGACTGTATGGTGGAGAGGATTGTTGCAGAGAGGTAACCCTCAACCTCGCTGTGCCAAGCTGAGGAGATGCGTGTCGATCAGCAGGCGCCGTAGGAGGGTTATTCAATGATGTTCCCTCCAAGCGCGTGAAGGGTGATTCAAGGAGGAGTGCCATGATATAGTCGACAATAGTTTGCGCATTTGCGGCGACTTCTTGATATGGATCGACAGACAAATCCAAAAGCACCACAAAGATGGTGAAGAATGATGATAAAAGGACACGATTCTCTTCCCTTAATTTGTCATCGTCCCCAAACCCATCTAACCATTCCGCCACAGCTTGATTCGTAACGTCTTCGTCATGTAAAGGCGAATGATGATGCCCACTCGTGGAAGCTCTCCACTTCCGATCTTCTTCCCAATAGATCCAAGCGCAGACGACGAAGTAACCCCGCCACTCTTTCACTAAGCAGCTGATGAGAACGAGTAATTCCTTTCTGCACATGGGACTCGCGTCGTCCTTGATGGCAAGCGTGGCACCAGTAGCGACAGCCACCTCCATTCTGAAGTGAACGCGTTCCTCCAAATGATACATCGACCCCGAGCCTCCACCACCCTGCTTGGTTGCGTCTATAGCCCCACTAGCACCCAAAAACGTTCCAAGGGCGTAGAGCGCAGCAGATCGCACTTCTGCAGAGTCATCCGAAAGCAGTTCGGTCAATTTATCTTGAGTCCCTCGGTCCACTCCATACACCTTCATCTCATCGTTCGTGTCCCACATCTGAGCAATGCACAACGCAGTCCACTGCCTCAACAAAAAGTCAGCCTCGTCCAATCTCTCGTAACAGTTGTCGAACACCCGCTCATCGCAACAAGCGGTCTGTCCCTGGTAAAAATCACGACACACTGCTGCGAGTATGAATGAACACATCGCTTTGTGCTCTGAACTGTTCGGCAGGACATCTTCGTTCCTAAGCCCAAGCACATTGGCAAAGTACTTGAAACCCTGCGTGTTGAACAAGTCTGTTTGCACCGTCGGGTCCACCGCGAGAATCCTTGCCCAAATGAATATCAACACTGGGCGTAAATCCTGGCCTTGAGCCTGGAGCAGCTTTGAGATGTAGGGGAATATACCGATCGTGAGCACTAGATGCACTGCCCATGGTCCTAGATCAACGAATTGGGATAAGAGGATGAGGGCTCTCAGTCTGTGCGGCTGGGAGAGAAGAACCTGGAGGACAATAGGGAGCTGGTCTGGCGGTTTACGTGGTACGAGATGGTTTTCTGAATTCCTATCGTACTCGTTCAGGGTGCCATTAGCTGAATCCCCTTGTGAAGGTGAAGGGTACCTGTCATTCGGAGGTGGAAGAGACATGGGCCCACGTCTGGTTAGAGCCGAGCCGCCTCTGGAGATCCAAACTTCGAATGCGGTGAGTTGATCAGCGAAGAATTTGCTAGGGACGTAGACATAGGGCTTGTCACCCGGTTTAGCGGAGGTTGCAGCATTAGGGTCTTGACGCACTGTCTGGCCAATGCGGCCGGGTCTAGTTCCCACTGTGGAGAGGGAGAGGGAGCCATTAGGGTTTGCTACGTTACAGGCGCTCCTGGATAAGAGATCCGGTAATTGTCGCAAGCACGTATCTACCGCCAAATCCCACGTTGCCCAAAGTGGATGTGTGTTGGTTGGGGGAAGAGGAGGGAAGGTGTGCGGCGTGCAGTGATAGTTCTTCATGATTCTTTCAGCAAGGAGGAAGTTTCGGAAAAGGGAGGCGATCAGTAAGTCGCATCGATAAAGTTTGGTGAAGATATCACGAGAAAATGTAGTCCATGCAATGGTATCAGTGATTGCGGTAAATATCCAATTGAGTTCCCCCAGAGGTGTGCGTCGGTCTTTGAGATCGCCTGGAAGTTGGAGGACCATATCAGCAGTTATGTTATTGGGGAGCTGGTGATTCATGATGAAATATCTGAGTGCGATATCAATGGGTGAGGTGAGACAGGATGTAAAAACGTCTGCCGGTAATTCTGGGCATGAAGGAAGTTGTTCGTTTGCACCACACGCTGCCAGTTGGAGCGAATTGATCATGGGCTGAGCGCCATTAGAATATCCCCCCTGCATCATGTTGACTTCGTTGTCCTTTCGCTCAGCAAACATGTTGAAATTCTGCAAAAGATGGCCAGCAGCAGAACAATCCCAGATGTAAACTCCAGGAGACCCTACCCAAGCCTGAAGCTCTTGCAGTGACACAGGAATGTATTGCGTGTAATTCCTGTTGAAACACCATAATTCCCCGCTCGCTGTCGGTTTGGGGACGCCGTGGCCATTGTAGTAAAATAAAACTGCATCATCTTTTGCTTGCTTTCGTAGAGTTTGACAAAATCGACGAAGATCTTCTACAGATGGATCCAAGATGTATTTGTAGCCAATCTTGAGGCTGAGTCCTTCAAACTGGTGTTGCAAATTGTTGCCAATCGCCTCAAGTGCCTTCTGGGCTGGCAAGGTATGAGGGTCCACCCAACACTCCAGATTCGCACAGGGATTGGTTTTGATTATGTCGGGTGGGTCTACGTCGATGTTAAGGCAAAGCACAAGGGCGGCAGTGGCAGTTTTGAGTTTTCCCGGCGCGGAACCACGCCATGGAATAGGCTTTTGCGACCATGATGGACCTGGTGTTGGGTTGCCGCAGGTGAGATGTCGTTTAGCGGACCAATAAGGTATCGGAGGAGCTGGATCGGGAAAGGTATCGATTGCGCCGTTGACTTGTCCCTCGCTTCTGCTGCCAGTTGCGTCTCTCCGTTCCCGCGTTTGAGACCGTTGTCGCGTTTGAGAGGTCGGATTGGAACGGGACGCTGACCTGTAGTCTCTCTCTGTGTCTGAATCTGAGCTATGAGCCCTTCGAGAGCCTGGGGCTCTGCCCCAAGTGCCAGCACCTGTTATCTACTTAGCTCAGTCATTCCAGCGACTTTGAAGGCGGGTCACCTGTCGCAAACAGCGGAGCCTTGCGTGGAGGTGTGGTCTGGGCCTGCTGTGCGAACATTCTTAACCCTCTTCAATGGTTACCACCTTAAGCTCCGTCCACGATGTCTGTAAAAAAGGTAAGCGTCATATGCGTTTGAGATGAGCAGCCACCAGGCTCACAATCGTATTGATTGGCTTCGATAGTCAACAGTAGGATGCGTTACAGAGATGTGGATGGTAGACTGCTCGGGGACATGGAAGATGGTGTTGAAGTTGAGCTCGTTGTGACTGAGTTCGATTGTCGGAAGCGCAAGGCCGGGCACAGTTGACAAATGCGTGCCTCCCAAGCGTCCAGCCCAAGTCATTCAGCTTTCACTGGCAAGACCTTTTCAAAACGAATTCATCGACGAAATTACCAAGAGTACACTTTTGAAACATGGATCCTCCTCTAGGCCTTAGGCACCATCGTCAGTATGCCTCAAGCTTCAAGCTCAAGGACGCGGTGTTGTTCCATTGACCGTTCGCTATTGAAAAATGGGTCGACCGAGAGATGGACGAACCCATGGCAAGAACGACGAACGGAATCCATTACTTTATGTGCAAAATGAATTACGATGTATTCATTCGGCAGACCCAAATCAAAGGAGTTCATGCACATGGCTCACCCCATCTTCCAACCCCTCTCCACAATCTACAAGTCCTCCCAGTATTCACAACCTTGCTGACGACACCAGCAGCGCTGGGCTCGCGACTTGCAAAGCCACCATTAGCTTCACCTACGTCCACTTTCCCTACAACCGCGCAGGTCATTGGCATTTCGATCGGCGCCAGCTTCATGTTTTTCCTAGATTGAAGCCCGCCGTGGAACTGTTGGGTATCTTGGAAGGGAAATTCCTTTCCTCAAAGGCCAAGACTTGGAAACAGAGTCCCTTTCTCCGCTGCCACAGCCCAATTTAGAGATGCCAACTCCTCTCGATCCGTCAGGAAACTCGGATACGGACGACTCTGAATCTGAGATCAACAATTCGTTGCCAACAATCCGAACATTGACCACCTCATTCGCTCAAGTTTATCCTAATGTTACCCTGGCCTACTTCTAATCAATGAAGAAGACGACAATGATTGAAGGTAAAGTTGACATTCGCCTTCTGGGATCTACGCTGACAAGATTTCGCTACCTATCAGCTTCGTGCTGTTCATTACGAATAAAGGACAACATGCCAGTCCTTTCTCGGACTTCAGTCGAAAGTCCTGTCTTGATTTTCTTCACCGAAATCATGCTTGTCGCTATCAACATTCTGCTCGTTGTCTCCACTGACGTTGCGCAGGGTATCCCTCTCGCCGGCAACTTCACAGTCAACCTGGATAATGCCACAGTCACTGGTATGAGTCAATAATCCCCCTCCCTGAAATTCCTCGGCATCCCTTTTGCACAACCTCCAGTCGGTATCCTCTCTGCTAGGTTAAGAACTTATCATCTTTAGTAACTATGACCGCCGCTTCCTTCTGCCTCTCTCTGTGCCTCCGTACGAGTGTGCTCTGACCGCGACCAAGTGCTTTTGGATATCCAAGTTGTCTGCCGATCCGTAACAAGAAGTCGCCACAAATGCGCAAACTGTCGTGGACAGGAACATGGCCCATCATTGAATCCCTACGGCGCCTGTTGATCGACGTGCATCTCCTCAGCTTGGCACAGCGAGGTTGAGGGTGACCTGCATCAATCCTCTCCGCCATACAGTCATTCGCCCCCACACCCATTACTGGGGATCGACCCGATCTCAGTCGTAGTGACACAATGACAAGCTCCATGTCTAGTGAAGTATCAAACACCTTTTGCTGAACCTCGTCTTTTGCCAACGCCCTGAAATCCCTGGCGAATGACCTCGCTTTCCCATCTTCAGCGAACGACGGGCGAGCACCAGTTACCTCCCACACACACCTTCATTTCGTGAACTTGCAGACATCTCGCCCCCGCCTTCACCCGAGCTCAATGTAGTATGTGTCACCTTACTAACGTCCCGCCACTCCACAGGGAGGTTTATGGCCATGGTTATGTTAGATCTTACCTGATGGTAGGAGTTACAAGTAATTGTGGTAGTATATTTGATCAATCGAAGACGGATTCAAATCCCGGCACTAGTTTAGAATAGGGACTGTCATGGATACACCCGGGTATTAACCGTACCCGATCCACGGATTTTCCCACCCACAGATCAGATAAGGCACATTACGGATATATCCGTGGGTAAAACGGCCTGAGTGGCTGAGGACATAGCTTCAGTTATATAAATGAGTGTATCTTGTTCATTTCTTGTCTGTTCTTTACAAAAAAAATTGTGTTATGAAGCGAAAATTCAGAAGAATTCATATTGGGTGACTTCCCGTAACATAAATCTACATAAACGAGTAAATCTGACCCTTATCGGAGTTTGAAATGAGTACCCTGGCTTGCGATTTAATCAAGCAAATAAACCGTAACGCCAACTGATTAGATTTATTGACCTGACATGAATAAACTTACTTCCCTCTCATCTGAGCTGTTTTGAGGACACACAGGCCCATGGATGGGTGTATTATAGTTGATGCTCAATCATATCAGCCAGAAAGTAGGACACATAATAAATGAAGCCGAGAAAATGTCAACTTGAGCTGAACATGCTGTGGTTCTGTGAGTTATGTGCTGAGAAGATTGTTTGTGGAAGGAAAAACAGCTTCGGAGAGGAAATTTTGGAACCAGAGGACGTTAGCACTACTAATAAACTCTGTAATGGCTTCAAATTATAACGAGAGAGCAGACTGCCCTCAGCCGTAGGAGAGTAGAGAGGGATGAGGTAGAGCTGACTAAGCTAGGTGGGAAGAAAACGTACCCAGGAAGGAAAGGTATCATGATGGCAGGGTTGATTCCAGCGTTTGAAATCTATTCGAGGGGTCTGTACCCTCTGAATAGATTAAGGTTTATAACTGGGTGCCAACCAGGGCCTCCATCAAAGTCGAACCCTTACAAGACTTGGCATCCCGGCAAAAGACCCTAGATCTCGTCGATTTATTTAAATCTAGCGAATTTGTGTTACGGGAAGTCACCCATTAAAACAAAAGTCATTCATATATGATCTAGATTGAGTACAGTAAAACTAAAGTTATTTATATATCATAATCTGAGGTCTTTCCCTTTATATAATGCTGCTGTAACTGAGCCTTGATCACAGAGTGTGTTTTGGGGTGTGTATTAGCATGCCTTGGCCATCTTGAGAGTATTTATTTTCAGTTTCAGAGAAATGCCTTTGAGAACAATTGATATTTATGTAGAGGTATTGAAAGAACAATTTTGGTGACATAAAGTGTTACAAAAAGAAATCATTGTCCATCTTTTTTTCAATCATTTGCATAACTTTATTGAAGCCTGGGTAGAGGGGGGATTTAATCCAGGATCTGAGAGCCATTTCCGCTCTGAATGTTTGAGAGTTAATATTGTGCTGGGTGAAATTGATCTGACGGTGGCCAGTGGAAAATGCTCGCTCTGCATCCACAGAAGTAGCTGCAACAATTGTTGAAAATAAAGGAACATAAGTGTGAATAATGGTGCTTACCTGGGGCTGAGCAGAAATCAGAACCCATTCGTGAGAGTTGTGGTCAGGACTGTGATGCATTGTGCCAGTACATCATATAACCTCCCATTTCCTTGATTGTTTCTGTTGCTACCCTGGGTTCATCAAGGTAAGCCTGAATGTGGTCCTTGACAAACTGATTTTCTTTCGGTGCATATTGTGATTGCTTTGGCTAAAAATTGAATTCAATAACAGGATTTAAAAGATATTTTTACCAACTACCTTGTTTTCCTCCCCTCTTAGCTCATTCTCCTCTTCACCTGCATATACACTGTCTCAGTAATCGCATACTATACTTTTTATAGACTTGATTTGTTGGACGTCATGACCATGGTCTTGAAACCATTTGACACTTGAGACAGCGACAAATATGTAGGGCTACATATGTAGAAACATATGCTCTCAAAACTGCAGGATATACTGTAATCTCTTTTGTTCTGATATATTTGCTCTCAATTTCTAAGTTTGGNGATGGAATTGTACATCCATCATATGCATAAAACAAACTTACAATAAAAAGAGGGATCAGATCCAAAAAATGAACAATTAAATATAATCTGAATTCATATTCAGAATACACTAAAATCTTGGCCCAGGAAGTTCAGCATATTCTAAATATGAGTTTAGATCATATTTATTCATTCATTTTTTGGACCTGATCCCTTTTTCTATTGTAAGTTTGTTTTATGCATATGATGGATGTACAATTCCATCACCAAACTTAGAAATTGAGAGCAAATATATTGGGGGAACACTGGTTTTGGCCTATTCTGCAGTTTTTATTGCCTACACTTAAAATATCCCAAAGAGGTCTAAAAATATATAATTTACCCACGGATACCTGCGGATAGTCCGGGTAGTTACCCGAATCCATCAGTTGAGCCCAAATATGGGTGGATTTCGGGTTTACCCGGGATTAGCCTATCCGTGACAGTCCCTAGTTTAGAACAATTTGGATACGATGGTAGCAAATTTGAGAGACACCACAGAAAAATAAGAACAATTATAGGTTAGGTGGGCGCAGAGAGGCTATCAAGTATACGTACAACCTGTCAAACGGAAGTGTTAAATGTAAGTATATGCAACCGATGATTTATGTTACTGATGAAATCCAGTCCTCAATTGCTCGGTGGCGCTCTGCATGCTCTGCTATGCTGTTCTCTACATCTCTTCCAAGATCAAAAGCCGTTGATGGCCATTGAAATTCACTGTCTGTGCCATCGTCATCAGAATCCCCCTCCATTCGATAAGGCAATTCAAAGAAGTTGATGTTTGGAAGGTGCATATACTGATGGTGTCCAAATGTCTTGATCACACACTGTAGATAGTGCCAACGAAAAAGACCTGGGGGCGGAATATTGTCATTGAGAGGGTGGGGAGGGCTTGCATGATGCCCATGAATGAGAGGGGAGCCATCGCTATCTCCCCTTTCAAATACTCCAGCTGTGGTGTAATCTACATCCACACCAAAATTTTCAGCATCCGGACCAATGAAAAGATGGCACTCATAAAGGTTCTAAATAGTTTATTAGATGGAATTGAGAAGATAAAAACTTCTTACTCGAGCAACAAAATGAAAGGCCATCTGATACTTGTTAAAAAAATCATCCACATTCTTTGACAGATTCAGCCCAAAAACTTCATTAAAGATGGAGAGATCTGCAGGAGGGGCAGTTGATGTGTATGTTGCATATATGATTCGCGCCATGTGATCCCCCACGCGCTTGGGGCAGATATGACTGTTGATAAGTGGGGAAGTTACTCGTGTCACCCAACAGCGTCCATCGCGCGCCACGACATGATTAGCCATGGTAGTTGCGTTTCCCGTTGTGCTGGTTCATGATCTACCTGTATGGAGACTGATTTTCGCGAGCCCGACCATCGCTCCCATGGGAAGATCATATCGGTACACCGAGGCAGTCAGTGGATCTGTGTTGGTGACCTGAAGCCATTGCTGCTCCTGCTGTACTACCAACGAACCACTGCGATTGATGGGGTCACAAATGTCATGTGCAATGCCGAGCAGCCATTTTGACACATTAGACTCTAGAGTACTGAAGAAAGTCGGTGAGGGATCCACTGAGGAGCTGGGTCGAGGTGGTGTCTGGAGAATCGTCGCCGAGGGTCATGGATGCGATGGCAAGAGCATTATCTGATATATTTGGCGGAGGATCAGAATATAGTCGGACATGATGGGAGTATATTTCGAGCGTGAGGAGACCAGTTGGAGCAGGACTAGGTTCCCTTTTCTGGTGTGGCATCTTGTGTTTTTTTTGGACATTTTAACCTTTTTCTTGAATAGCGAGCACAGAGAAAACCCATGTCACTGGTCAGAGCTGTTCGACAAGAGACAAACTAGAGACATCTCTCAAACAGCGGACGTAGGGCTTATTCATTCGAGATAAGCAGCCAAAGGGCTTACAATCGGTTGATTGGCTTCAATAGTTGACGTAGAATGTGTTACAGAGATCTGGATGGTAGACTGCTCGGGGAGCATGGAAGATGGTGAGTTCGTGACTGATTGAAGCGCGTGCGTCACGGTTTCCAGCCCTGTTCAGTGTTTACCAGTACCTCTTATAATTCCCGCATAATCCCCTTGTGTTCTTTGCTAGGCGTCGAGCTTTCACGACCTCTTCGTAATTGACATTGTCCACGAAACGTTCTTCAATTACGGAGGAGACACTTTTGAAACATGGATCCTCCTTTAGCTCTAGGTACCATTGTCACTTTTCCTCAAGGACATGGTGTTCAAGTTGTAAATTCATTGGGCCGACATCATTCGCTATCAGAAAATGGGTCGGCGTAGAGTTGTACGAACCCAATGGCTAGAACGACGGTTCCTTCAACGGAATCCATTACTTTACATGCAAGTACGTTGTATTCATTCGGCAGAGTCAAATCAAAGGAGTTCATGGTTCAGAGCATGATGCAGGTCCTAGCACGGTACGAATCTCTGCTCTGAAATTGGAAGGTATGCGGATTGAATCTTTACTAGGTGCCGAAGCCTCCACCTCCTACAACTCGTCTGACTGTGGGTACCCAACGGACGTCAAGCGCGTCAGGATTACTACGGGCAAATTCTTTTCGCAGCTTGCCATCTTCCAACCCCTCTCCACGCTCTGCAAGTCCTGTTAAACCAGTAGCGGCTCCAGTACCCACGGCCTTGCTGACGACACCAGCAGCGCTGGGCTCGCAACTCGCAAAGCCACCACCAAATTCACCACAAAACGAACACCTCCACTTTCCCTACTACCGCGCAAGTCATTGGCAATACGATCAGCTGACGCAAATCATCTAGTTGGCTCAAGGCCCCATGCCGCATCTCGGTGACGCCGCAGTGCAAAGTTTGCTTTCCAGTTAACGACCGTCCTTGGCATCGTCAAGCAGACTGCGACATCTACTGTGGCGAAAAATATGAAACCAGGCGCATCGACATGGGAAGCTGTTGGCGGCTCCATTCTGCATCTCACTGAGGAAGGTAGCAAGCCACTGCCATTTGTCCTGGAAAACGAGAACGTTTTCAAGAGTGCATCTTTTCTTTTGTTGCTAGCCCCGCCCATGATTCTGATAGCGCTTTCAGTTACTGGCGTGGCACCCTGGGTAACAAGGATCGCTGAGGTCAAAGCTGCGCTGGCAGTCATCATTGAAGCAGAACGGAAAGTAGCCTCTCTCAACGATGAGACGCAAGGCTTGGTGCGCACTTTGTGTGCTAAGGACCAGAACATTCAAGACGCTAAAGTCGAAATCGAGCTTATGGAGAGGCGCATGGAGACCATCAAGAAGCAGGCAGACACCATTGTTGAATTTGAGACAAGGGCAAGAAACAGGAGATCCTGTAAGGAAGCGATTGAGCAGTTACAGGCAGACATCGATGCCATTGAGCAGGAGAATGCGAGCTTGAAGAGCTGGACAGGAGCGGCAGCGTATGCTCATATTGTTTTCATCTTGGGGTACATCGTCGATTTGATGGTTTCGCAGAAGTTGGAACCCAACCTGTCGAAACGGAAAACGTGCCGATCAAAGGTAGCCTGAAACGTCATACATTTTGGACCAGGTAATCACCTCCCGTCACTTCTTTTTTACCAGCCTAATGTTTTCCCATAGATTGATGCCCTCCGTCGAATTGTTCGGTATCTCAGAACGGAAAATTCTCAAAGGCCAAGACTTGCTCCAGGAATTAGAGTTTCTTCTGCCACAGCCCCACTCAAGGATGCCGACTCCCCTCGGTCCGTCAGGGAACTCGGATACGGACGACTCTGATTCCGAGATTAACGATTCATTACCAACACTGCGAATATTGACCACTGAAACCATCCCATTCGCTCAGGCTTATTCTAACGTTAACCTGGCCTGCTTCTGTTCGATGCGGAAGACGACAATAGTCGATTGAAGGTACAATCCATTCGCCTTCTGGGATCCACACTGACAAGATTTTAGCTTCGTACTGTTCATCACGTATAAAGGACATCATGCCAGTTCCTTCTCACACTTCAGTCGAAAGTCCTGTCTCGATTTTGATCACCAAAATCATGCTTGTCGCTATCAACATTTTGTTCGTTGTTTTCACTACTGCTGCGCCGGGTGTTCCCCACGCTGGCAACCCCACAGTCAAACAAAATAATACCGTATTCACTGATTGAGTCAAGGATCACTTTCCCGAAATTCCTTGGCATCCCTTTTGCGCAACCGTAAGTCGGTCTCCTCTCTGCCGTATTAAGACGAACTTATCCTTCTTATTTTTGAATAGTATAGTAAAGGTGTCCGCCACTTCCTTCTGCCTCTCGGAGCTAAGCGAAGGTTGAAGTGTGCATCCACGGTGGAGGAAGGAAATTTGAGGGGCCTGGTTTCGGAGGGAGATACTTGAAATGTCAGCGGCCCAAGACAGAACAAGAATGGGAAGAGGTCTGGCGAAAGGTATTGAAGGCCGTGTCTCCGTACGAGTGTGCTCTGACCGCGACCAAGTGCTTTCAAGTTTGGATACCCAAATTGTCTGTTGATCCGTATCCAGAAGTCGCCATAAATGTTGTCGACTATATTATGGCCACGTGGCGCTTGGATGCAACATCACTGAACATCCCTCCCAACGGCGCCTGTTGATCGACGTGCATCTCCTCACCTTGGGGTTACCTCTCTGCAACAATAATCTCCACTATACAGTTGGGGATCGAGCCGGTCTCAGTCGAAGTGACAGAACCCTTTGTCGAACCTCATCCTTTGCCAACACCCTGAAATCCCTGGTGAATGGCATCGCTTACCCATCTTTATCAGACGATGGACAGATGTCACCTACCATTTTGACTCATGTTCATTTCCAGCCTGAAGTTGCAGACGTCTCGCATCTGACTCTACCCAATCTAGCACAAAATGTGTTGCCTTACTCACATACCACCTTTCCATGGGGAGGTTGTAGCCATGTTTATGGAGTTTTTACAAGCAATTGTGGTAGTCTATTTGATTAATTGAGCATGAATTCAAATCCTGACACTAGCTTAAGTGAAGACAACTTGAATGTGGCAATTGGGTCCAAATCTGAAGACACTATGGAAAAATACTAAGGATTATAGGTGGGGGGGTTGCCAAGTGCAACCTGTCAAGAAAATCAAGTCAAAGAATCAATCCAGTTCTGAACTGCTTGGTGGGACTCTGCAGACTCATCAGCAAAACCTGGGTGAGCTAGGCAGCACGTGGCAGGGCTGTGTAGTGCCATAGCACCATAGAAAGGGGTATCACCTTTACAGTCACCTGCGCGTTCTATGCAGCTCTACATAGAAACGCACAGCCACTACACAGCACTCCATAGAATCTCAGAGCAGATCTGCAGCCATTCATAGAAACACATAGCCACTTCATAGTGCTCCCTAGAATTACGGAGCAGATCTGCAGCCCTCAGTAGCAAACCCTGGGGTCTGCAGATTCCTAGAGGGGGGGCATACATTCTGCTCATTTTAATACCATATTGCATGATTTTTACACAGAACTTGTGTTACGAAAAAATAAGTTTATTGTCTGCACTACTACATTATACAAGATATCCTAATATTCTACATAGTAATGACTGCAGTATATCAAATTTATGGAATCAGAGTATCAAGTATTAAAGATACTAAGAGGATGCCATTCGCCAACAAGGAAGGGAGGACAGTTGTTCATCGAGGGACGGAGCCGTTCTTCAAAGGAGGGAGGACTCAAAGGAAGGAGGATGCCATTCGTCGACAAGGGAGGGAGGACGCCGTTCTTCAAGGGAGGGAGCCGTTCATCAATGAGGTAGGGAGGACACCATTCGTCGACAACAGAGGGAAGATGTGTTTGTCGACAAGCGAGGGATGACGCCGTTCTTCAAGGCAGGGGGAACACCATTTATCAACGAGAGAGGGAGGACGCCGTTCGTCAATGAGGGAGGGAGGACACCATTCGTCGAGGGAGAAACGCCGTCCGTCAAGAAGGGAGGGAGGATGCCGTTCGTCGACGAGTGAGGGAGCAGTTCGTCAAGGGAGGACACTGTTCATCGGGGGAGCCGTTTGTCGAGGGAGGGGGGCCGTTTGTCAAGAGGGAGCCTTTCGTCAAGGGAGGGAGCCGTTTGCCGAGAGAGGGAGCCATTCGTTGAGGGAGGAGTCATTTGTCGATGAGGGAGCCGTTCGTCGATGAGGGAGGGATCTTTTCTTTAAGGGAGGAAGCCATTCTTCACGGGAGCGAGCTGTTCTTCAAGGGAGGCAGGGAGCCATTCTTCAAGGGGGGGAGGAAGCCGTTCTTCAAGAGAGGGAGGATGCCGTTCTTCAAGGGAGGGAGGACGCCGTTCATGGACGAGGGAGGACACCGTTCATGGACGAGGGAGGACACCATTTGTCGAGGACAAGTTGAACATTGTGGTGGGAAGGAAGAAGAATGAATTTCCGTGTTGGGAAATTCAAAGTTCAACATAATCACATGATGTCGGAGTTTCAACGGACTTGAACGAATTGTCTCGCGACTTGAAGTTGTTTGTCGCCTGTCACTGTCTTTCACAGAAAGCATGGCATTCGAGGTGGGCATTCACAATTGTAGATGGCACCATGTAATCAGGCAAATATAAAGTTCATATTGGAAAATTATTGAACAATTTCCGAGCCTTCCAAGAAATTTGCAGTTGTTACCAGAAATTTCCTGGCTATTTCCATGATTTCCCGAAATTTCCTGTTTTTTGGTAGTAGTAGTAACAATTGAAGTTGTCTAAGTTCGAAAATGTGAGTTGAGCGCGGCACGTGACTTCCCGCAACTGTACCGACTTCCATCAATTCACACTTACACTTTCTAGGGTAGCTCATAGCTATAACTTCACGAGTATTACACCGTTTGGCCTCTATGTAGGCTTATTTTAATCGCTTCATTCACGCGAATGCAATCCAATTTACGGCGTAGAAAAATTTGGAGTACCCCACAAACTGTAGCATAAACTATTTGGCCTGTATTAGACATCTGAAATATATATTATCATCATGAGTTCTACTCCGTTTCATGCGATTTTGGGCTTGTTAGAAACGCACAAATTAGAGCTTTAAAACGGGTCTGAGAGCCCCTAATATTTCGACGTTTAAGGCGACCTCCGATAACATTTACCGTTTTTAGGCAGGTCCAAAGCCATTTAAGTGTTGAACTAAATACTACGTAAATAGACGCGTTGGAATCGGCTTGAACACCACTTTCCAACGCAAAAAAAATCACAAAAGACGAATATGTTTTGCAAAAGATACTTCATATTCTTTCTTGTTGCAATCTTTGTAGGTCAATCAATCTCTGGACAGTGTTGTACTTTCTTCTTATTCCAGGCATATTTTGGTCATAAATTATTCATATACAATAGGGAATGTGTTTTCTACTGAAATCTAGTATACTTGTAGTTTGACTCCCTATAAGGGCTGGGTAGAAAGTGGAGGCCCCTCTATAGCACCCTATAGTAATGGCACAAGTCTCTGTAGTGCTGTATAGCACAAGCTTACACCCACACAGTGCTGTGGAGCGCTGTGTGGCGCTAGGGCATCTAGCCAAACTTGGCGTGTAACTATGGGAAACTATGATATTAGCGGAAGCACTATGCCTGTCTACGTGGGAAAATCAGGTTTTGCTGATGCTCCTTCAGGCTTTGCTCTACATTCCTCCCTAGATCAAAAGCCATGGATGGCCATTGCAACTCACTGTCTGTGCCATCATCATCAGAATCCCCTTCCATTCGAAGAGGTAATTCATGGAAATTTATATTCTGAAGGTTTGTGTATTGATGGTGTCCAAACTTCTTGATGACACACTGTAGGTAATGCCAACGGAAGAGTCCTGCTGGTGGATTATGGATGTGGTGGGGGTTGGGAGGGTGTACACGCTGCCCATGAAGGGGGGGCAGGTTGAAGATGTTGTCTCCTGTTGTTGCATATAGGTCATATTCTTCATCACCTGCATCAGCAAACACATGGCACTCATAAGTTTGCTAAAGGGTTGATCAATAAAAAAATTGGAGATGAGAAGGTAAGAACTTATCACCAGAGCAATGTAACGAAAGCCCAACTGATAGACGTCAAATAAAGCATTTAGATTCCTTGTCAGACTCAAGCCAAACATCTCATGGAAAATGATGAGATCGGGAAAAGGGTCAATGCCTGTGAATGTTTGAAAGATAATTCTGGCCGTATAGTCCCCCATGCGCTTGGGGCAAAGATGGCTATTGATCAATGGACAGGTGTCTCCCGTCACCCAGCACCTTCCATCACGCTGCCTGACATGAGTAGCCATAGTCGTCGCATTTCCAGTTGTGCTGCTTTGAGACCTTCCTTCGCGGCGACTGATTTTTGCAAGGCCAACCGTCACTCCTGCATCAAGATGGTAGCGATAGACCGACGCAGTGAGGGGATCTGTGTCAGCGACCGCAAGCCAGTGCTGCGGCCCCATCTGTTTTTCTACTGAGCCCCTGCGAAGGACGGGATCACAGATATCATGTGCAACGTCAACCAGCCATTTTGAGCCCTCTCCGCGAGAGTACCGTAAAAAGTCAGTGAGGAACCCACTGAGGAGCCGAATCGAGGTGGTGTCAGGAGAATCAGTGCCGGGGGTCATGGCTGTGATGGCGGCGGCATGATGGTCTGATATGACGGGTGGCTGAGCGATTATGCGGACGTGATGAGAGTCGATTTGGAGTATAAGGCGGTCTGGTCCAACAGGACTAAGTTCCCTTTTTTGGTGTGGCTTCTTGTGTTTTTTGGTCGTCTTATCCTTTTTCTTGAATAGCGAGCACAGAGAAAAACCCATGTTACTGGTCAGAGGTGGGACTCCGCTGAAGTTAGACTAGAGACAAACTAGAGACATTCCTCAAACAGCGGACTTAGGCCTTATTCTTTTTTACAACCGTGTTGATTGGGGCCGATAGTTGACAGTGGAATGTGTTGGATTCTGGATGGTAGACTGCTCAGGCATATCTGTATTGACGGAAGCGCAAGGACCCGGGCCGGGCACAGTTGGGTCCAGCCCTCTCAGGCCTGTTTACCTTTTTTTTTCCTTGCATAGTCCCCTATGTTCTTTCCTTGTCGTCGAGCTTTCACAACCTCGACATAATCGACATTGTCGACGAAATGTTCTTTGTTTACGGAGGAGACACTTTTGAAACATGGATCCAGCCTGGTACCATTGTCACTATTCCTCAAGCTAGCAAGGACACGGTGTTGTTCGTTTTATTGGCCCGACATCGTTCGCTATTGGAAAATGGGTCGGCGTAGAATTGTACGAAGCCAATGGCAAGAACGACGGTTCCGTCAACGGAATCCAGATCAACTACGGCGTATACAATGTACATTCGGCAGAGTCAAATACGCTCACTGGTCGTTGGTTTATATCACCAACTTTAGCCCAGCCTCCATCACCAGTTTGCACAACTAGTTGGTACCGTGGCCGACAGGGCCTTCAAAATCACCTTTGACGAACGACTTTTGTTAGTTCAAAGATGGATCGAGAGTTCCGATGGGGCGACGGACGTTTCTGAAGTTTGGGATGGGGCTCGTCCAGTAAGGCATTGTTTTTTCTTCCACATATGCCCTACCATTCCTCATGAGCGGTGCGAACTAGAGAGCGTCAAACATCAGCCCCTCAACCCTGACATACTCAAGTTGGCTTTCAAGCCAGAGGAGGCCATTCATGTGTGAAAGCAAAGACTGATTCTGACTAGGACTGGAAGAAAAAAGAATGAGCAAGAACTTGAACTGTCTAGAACTTCACGCGTTGAACGCACATTTGTGACGGCCTATCTGGGTTCAGTCAGACGCTTCCCATTCAGGGCCCTTTCTGCGAGCATGATCTATCCATGAAGATTATTCCGTCGATGATAGACTATGAACGGTGCATGGAACATGGAAGTATAAATCACGTCACATCCGAATACGTGATTGTGATCATCTTTGATTCCACCTCTTGCTTCCTCTCAACGAGGACATGCGGCTTGGTTCTAGGTTTCCCATATCGGAATGGTACATATTACTATCTGGACCCTCGATCGATGCAGACTTGCCTCATCAGGAATGCTGCTGCCATCTACGAATTCATGGTTCAGAGCTCGATGTGGGTCCTAGCATGGTACAAATCTGCTCTGAAGGGTATGTGATTGAAGGCTTGTTAGATGCCAAAACATTCACCCCCACAACTTGTCGAACTGTGAATCATCAACGGACATCAAGCGCGTCGGGATTACTACGGGCAATTTTTTTTCGCAGCCCCCCATTCTTCCAATCCATCTTCCAACCCCTCTCCATGCTCTGCAAGTCCTGTTAAACCAGTAGCAGCTCCAGTACCCACAGCCTTGCTGACGACGCCAGCAGCGCTGGGCTCGTGACTTGCAAAGCCACCACCAACTCCACACAAGTCAATGCATTTCGACCAGCTGACGCAAATAATCTGTTTATGGAGTTTTTACAAGCAATTGTGGTAGTCTATTTGACTAATTGAGCATGAACTCAAAATCTGACACTAGCTTGAGACAATTTGAATGTGGCAAATCTAAAGACGCTACAGGAAAAATACTAAGAATTATAGGTTGGGAGGTTACCAACCATAATCTGTCAAGAAACATCAAGGCAAAGAATCAATCCAACTCTGAACTGCACGATGGGACTGTGCAGACTCCTCCAGGCTTTTCTCTACATTCCTTCCTAGATCGAAAGCCATGGATGGCCATTGGAACTCACTGTCTGTGCCATCATCATCAGAATCCCCTTCCATTCGAAGAGGAAATTCATAGAAATTGATATTCTGAAGGTCTGTATACTGAAGGTGTCCAAACTTCTTGATCACGCACTGTAGGTAGTGCCAGCGAAAAAGACCTGCTGGGGGATTATTGTTGTGGAGGGGATTAGGAGGGCCTACATGTCGCCCATGGAGGAGAGGCTGGTTGAAGTTGTTGCATCCTCTTCGAAATGTTGCAAATAGAGTATAATCTTCATCATCTGAATTAGCAAACACATGGCACTCATAGATTTGCTAAAGGGTTGATCAATAAAAAAATTGGAGATGAGAAGATGACAACTTCTCACTGGAGCAATGTAATGAAAGCCCAACTGATAGACGTCAAATAAAGTGTCCAGATAACTTAGCAGACTCAAGCCAAAAATCTCATGAAAAATAGTGAGATCGGGAGAAGGGTTATTGCCTGTGAATGTTTGAAAGATAATTCTGGCCGTATAGTCCCCCATGCGCTTCGGGCAAATATGGCTGTTGGTCAGTGAACCGGTTGCTCCTGTCACCCAGCACCTTTCACCATCACGCTGCCTGATATCATTAGCCATTGTCGTTGCATTTCCAGTTGTGCTGGTGTGAGACCTTCCTTCACGGTGACTGATTTTTCCAAGACCAACCGTCACTCCCGTATGAAGATGGTAGCGATAGACCGACGCAGTGAGGGGATCTGTGTCGACAACTGCAAGCCAGTGCTGCGGCCCCATCTGTTTTTCTAATGAACCCCTGCGACGGACGGGATCGCAAATGTCGTGTGCAATGTCGAGCAGCCATTTTGACGCCTCTTTATGTGAGTACTGAAGAAAGTCGGTGAGGGATCCACTGAGGAGCTGGATCGAGGTGGTGTCTGGAGAGTCGTCGCCGAGGGTCATGGATGCGATGGCAAGAGCATTGTCTGATAAGTTTGGTGCAGGATCGGAATATAAACGGACGTGATGCGAGTATATTTCGAGTGTGAGGAGACCTGTCGGAGCAGCACTAGGTTCCCTTTTCTGGTGTGGCTTCTCGTGTTTTTTGGACATTTTATCCTTTTTCTTGAAAAGCGAGGGCAGAAAAAAACCCATACGGTAGCTACTGTTCAGAGCTGCTAGACAAGAGACAAACTAGAGACGTTTCTCAAACGGCGGACGTAGGCCCTATTCATTCGAGATGAGCAGCCAACGGGCTTACAATCGCGTCGATTGGCTTCAATAGTTGACAGTAGAATCTGTTACAGAAATATGAATTTTGGATGGTAGACTCTGGGGCATGGAAGATTGTGTGAAGTCGAGGACCGGGCCGGGCACAGTTGGCAAACGCACGTCACGGTTTCTAGCCCTATCAGGCCTGTTTACCTTTCTTAATCCTTGCATAATCGCCTATGTTCTTTCCTTGTCGTCGAGCTTTCACGACCTCTTCATAATCGACTTTGTCGACGAAACGTTCTTTGTTTACAGAGGAGACACCCTTGAAACATGGATCCTCCTTTAGGTACCATTGTCACTATCCCTCAAGGACGTGGTGTTGTTCGTTTTATTGGCCCGACATCTTTCGCTATTGGGAAATGGGTCGGCGTAGAGTTGTACGAACCCAATGGCAAGAACGACGGATCCGTCAACGGAATCCATTACTTTACATGCAAAATTAACTACGGCGTATTCATTCGGCAGAGTCAAATCAAAGGAGTTCATGGTTCAGAGCTCGATGCGGGTCCTAGCACGGTACGAATCTGCCATGAATTAGAAGGGTATGTGAATTGAAGGTTTCTTAGGTGCCAAAGCCTCCACCTCCCACAACTCGTCCGACTGTGGGTCACCAACGGACATCAAGCGCGTCAGGATTACTACGGGCAAACTCTTTTCGCAGCCCGCCATCTTCCAACCCATCTTCCAACCCCTCTCCACGCTCTGCAAGTCCTGTTAAACCAGTAGTGGCTCCGGTACCCACAACTTTGCTGACGACACCAGCCGCGCTGGGCTCGCGACTTGCAAAGCCACCACCAGCCTCACCCACGAAACGAACACCTCCACTTTCCCTACAACCGCGCAAGTCATTGGCATTTCGATCAGCATCGCAGGAGATTCCTAGCTCGGCGTCGCGCGAGTCTCCACCAAACATCTTCTCACCAAATGGCACTGCTCCCAGAACATCATCACCCCTCACTTTGCCACCCCGACAAGCCTCACCACCGCCACAACCGCCCTCATCATCTCATCTGGGTGCGACGCCAGCAAATGGACGGCCACCGTCTAGGGCTGCCTCACCCCTAGGAAGGCCACCTGCCGATGAACAAGAACTTCAAGAACTACGAGCTAAAGTTCGTGTCCTCGAAGCCAAACGCACCGATGACGCCCGACATGTTCGCGAACTCGAGACACGGCTATCAGAAGCCGAATCCTTTGTCGCCCTTCGTCCCAAATTACAGGCCAAGCTCAATTCGCTGCAAACAGAATTAATAGCCACAAGGAGAGAACTCGCTGATTCGTTGCAGCTCTCTCAACTTTCTGACACGCGGGTGGCAGACGCGCAGGAGCACTTGGAGATGGCCATGTTGGATAAGGAGGTCGCAGAAGAAAGGGCTGAACTTGCAGAGGCCGAGTTAGAGGAGATTAAGGAGAAGTTGGCAGTGTTGGAAGTTGAGAACGGGGTGCTAAATTCGGGAGGAGGTCCTGGTCAATCAAGCGATGATACTGCTAAATCATCAATGGCGTATATCCAGCTCGAGAAACACAACGAACGTTTGAAAGAGGCCCTCATTAAGCTTCGAGACTTGTCGCAAGAAACAGAACAGGAGCAGAGAAGGCGGATATCTGAGATGGAAAAGGATATTGTTGGGATTGACGAACTTCAATGTCAGTTAAATTCCCCGGTGTTATTCAGAACGCTTATCCTATGGCGCAGCACAATATGAGGAATCATTGATCAAACTGTCCAACGCGGAAACTCAAATCGAAGACCTGAAACTGCAGTTAGACGATGCTTTGGGTGCTGAAGAGATGCTTGTCCAATTGACGGAGCGCAACTTAATGCTGGGCGAGGTATGTCAAGCCTACGCACTCTCTAATCGCGCTAACCCTTTATCCATCCAAGAAAATCGAAGAGATGCGCATCACAATCGAAGACCTCGAGGCCCTCAAAGAGCTTAATGATGAGCTCGAGGAGAATCATATGGAAACAGAAAAACAACTCCATGAAGATCTTGGTGAGTTATGGCGTTGCCGTCCATCCTACATCCGTCTCACAGTTTCCCGCATAGACCGAAGGGACTTGCAAATCCGCGAACATGTTCATAAAATAGAAACCTTGGAAGAAACTTGTCTGGACCTCGAAAACACCATCAATCAGTTCAGGGAACTCGTTATGCAGCTCCAGAGGTGCTCCTTTTTCTACCTCGGTCGTCTCATCATTTTAAATGCTCTTTCTTTTGACTTAAAGTGATCTCGATAGCCTACGGGCCCAAACACAGTCCGCACAGTCCGAATCAGATAGAGCAGCCTCCCAGACAGCCGCTATGATGTCGCTCAACCTCAAGTTACAATCATCTGCTTCCAAGAACCAAGCCAGGAGTATAGATCTGGAACTAGCGAAGTGGGAAGCTAAAGAACACAAAGAGATGTTGGAGATCATTCAGGTTTCGATTTTGTTCCCTCTTAACCCCGATTCTCGTTGACTGACAGAACACCACAGCCATACTTGCCGCAAATCTATGTTGACTCCGACAATGACGCTACGAGGTGTTACATGTTCTTCCAACGGATGGCAGCCAAAGTGGACTTGATCAATACGGTCGTTACGCAAGCTCATGGATTGCCCGACGCTCTCAACGGTCCTGTCTCCGAGGCACTTGTTGGCATATGCGAAGTAAGTCCCTTTGTTTTCCTTATTACTTTGTTAATCCGTTTCATAGATGAGAGGCCGTGTCTCTGGCCTGTCAACGCTCTGCAAGCGCTTCGCAGCGATCCTTCGTAAATGTGATGTCGAGACTTTCCTCAACATCGGCCGGCTCTATCCAGAAATCGCCCCCCTCGAAAAGCGAATCGATATGCATATTGATTTGCTTCGTCGCGATGACTTCAAGGAAGGAGAGTGTGTCAATGACATTGTCAAGTACGACTTTCGACCCATCGTCCTTTTTTTTTTGAGGTGCTAATTTACTTTTGCTGAATAGGATTCAAGCGCAATTTGACCATTTGGCGGAAACGTACTTTGATGGTTTCGATTATGATTTGGCAGAACGCGAACTGGGATACCTTATGGCGTTGGATCTGGACCTGGACATGTGCTCTGCGTCTTTGCGTCTGACGAAAACGGCTGTGGAGGCTACCATCAACGACAAAGGTGTGTGCCGTATAATTAAGATGCTGATAGTAGCTAATGCATCGCTACAGACGTAGAATTGGACATGGGAGGCTATGATATCGATCTGGAACTGTTCGAGCCGTTGTTGAAACTTCTCGAACAGTGCAAGGGTGCTAAAACGCTGTCAAAGTCGGTTTCTTTTACCGTGACCACGCTCTGTAAATTCTGACCTGTCGCACAGGAAACTTACGAAACGGCTCGAAGACCTAATTCAGGATTCAACGGCATTGAAAGCTCATCTCATTCCTCAGATGAAAGCCCTGAGCGACCACGTTGCAGATCTTGTGAACTTTGGCTTTTCGGTATGTGTCCTTTTTGTGTTGAACTACCCGTCAATGTTTCTGACGCAAATCATCTAGTTGGCTCAAGGCCTCATGCCGCATCTCGGTGACGCCCGCAGTGCAAAGTCTGCTTTCCAATTGACGACCGTCCTTGGCATCGTCAAGCAGACTGCGACATCTACAGTGGCGAAAGATATGAAGCCAGGTGCATCGACATGGGAAGCTGTTGGCGGTTCTATTACGCATCTCACTGAGGAAGGTAGCAAGCTACTGCCACTTGTCCTGGAAAACGAGAGCGTTTTGAAGGGTGGGTATTTTCTTTTGTTGCTGGTCCCGTCCGTGATTCTGATAGCGCTTTCAGTTACTGGCGTGGCACCCTGGGTAACAAGGATTGCGGAGGTCAAAGCTGCGCTGGCAGTCAACATCGAAGCCGAACGGAAAGTAGCCTCTCTCAACGATGAGATGCAAGGCTTGGTGCGCACTTTGCGTGCCAAGGACCAGAACATTCAAGAGGCTACAGTCAAAATCGAGCTTATGGAGAGGCGCATGGAGACCGTCAAGAAGCAGGCAGACACCATTGTTGACCTTGAGACGGAGATAAACAAGGGCAAGAAACAGGAGAGAGCCTATGAAGAAGCAATTGAGCAGTTACAGGCGGACATCGATGCCATTGAGCAGGAGAATGCGAGGTTGAAGAGCTTGAGTGCTGGACAGGAGCGGCAGCGTATGCTCATATTGTTTTCCTTTTGAGGTTCATTGCTGATTCGGTGGCTTTGCAGAAGTTGGAACTCAACCTGTTGAGGCGGAAAACGTACCGATTGAAGGCAGCCTAGAAACGTCATACCTTTTGGACCAGGTAACTTCCTCCTGTCACTTCTTTTCTGTGTCTAACGTTTTCCCACAGATTGAAGCCCTCCGTGGAACCGTTCGGTATCTCAGAACAGAGAATTCTTTCCTCAAAGGCCAAGACTTGCTCCGGGAAATAGAGTCCCTTTCTCCGCTGCCACAACCCATCTCAAGGATGCCAACTCCTCCTCTCGATCCGTCAGGGAACTCGGACACGGATGACTCTGATTCCGAGATTAACGATTCACCACCAACACTACGAAGATTGACCACAGAAACAAAGATGTTGTACCGTGATGTCATCAAATTCTCGTCTTCCCCACGGGTTGTCGACCTTTCTGCTCTGAATGCCAAGCGAGCAGAGGCGAAAGGAGGGAAAGTGTGGTTGCCGAAGAAGAAAAGTCCCTCACATCAGATTTGGGAGCGCAAGGCGGAGGGAGAACGATTGAATAGACGAGTTCATGGATTGCTGGAGAGAGCCAGCGCTATCGGTGCACTTTAGATCTCCGGATCCCTTGCATTTTTGCATTCCATATGTATACCTTCCTACCTACAGCATTTAGTATATACCCAACATGTCAAACGGTATCTATCCATGGTAATTATTCTTCACTCATAATGGGCGTCAGAATTCGCCGAAACAGGGTGATCGCCGAAGAACCTAGTCGGGATAACAAGTTACCGTCATACAGAAACGCGACGCTCATCGACAGCTGACGTCTGCCAGCCAGCAACGTCTTTCAGGGATTCAACCACATTCATTAAAAGGCACTGGAAGGGTTCGAGCTTGACGCTCTCGAAGACCATGGTCAGGGCTGATTCGTCTGCAAATGACCTCGTGAGTTCGTCTTGAGTGGTATTCAGACCTGCAATATTCAAGAAACTCTCAGCAGCCGGACGACAAAAAGGAGACAACTTCCAAGAAGAAGAAAGCCGCACAGAAGAAAAAGGATGTCACCACAGGCATCTGGCCCTGTAAAATCAATGGATGCAACAAACAGTTCGCTCGAGAAGCCGATCTCAAGCGACACCAGAGGACGACAAAACTGCATTCTATGCCTGGTTTGTTCGTCTCAGCCTCCAGCGCCGCGCGGTTCCCTTGTGTGCTGACGCTGTTGTTGCCTCTAGTGCATGTCCGCAATGTGATGCAACCTTTACACGAGTTCGTCGTTCTTACTCTGGACCGTAGGTGAAATGACTCATTCTTGTGCAGACGGATGCACAGAGGAGACACCAGAAATCTAGGTGCGACTTTCAAGATCCCTGCAAACATTTGTTGAGGGACGTCTCTTTGCAGGCATAATGGTGTCGTCATCGAATCCCCTGGGCAGGAGAAAACCGACGGAACCGAGGCCTCCTCAAGCAACCAATCTCGAAGCAGGAGTGGGACCCCTTCACGCAAAGGAAAAGAAAAGGCAACAGGCATTCCAGTCGAAACACATCAGGGCACACCGAATGTTGGTGGTCCTTCTAGTTATTACCGTTCACATACTGCTACCATGAGTACGTCCCAAGCAACTCTTGTCACCGTCGCTTCTTACGTTTTATGGTGCAGCTTATGTCCCTCCACGATATCCCCCAATTAGCTTACCAACGTCTTCAGCAAGGACAACACCAAACTGGGTCTACCCCCACAATGCACCAAGCCTCCTGGTCCCTATGACCTATTCATACCCACCGCCCCAGAATGTATATTATACACCCTCTCCGCACTATCGAACCAATGGGAGCTACCCTCCGCCACCGTCATCGTCCGCCCACCCACCAACAACGAACAACATGAGCGCATCCTCATCAAATGGCAGCCCCATCAGCCCAGAAACTTCTTCCCCAGGTCCCATGTCGACTTCTAATTCCAGCAGTAGCTCTAATTTATCAACGATGGAACATTGTCTTTCACCAACAACCCAACTTACCGCCGAGGAAGTGGAAATGGCCATGCAGGCCGTCATCAAGCTTCATGCAGAGGCGGAAAAAGCGTCACAACGGCAAAATGGGCTCGAGTTGGATGGTAATCGAAGCGTGTTTGGCACGAGAGTTGGGTCGCAGAGCCTTGAGAATACTGACAGGACATCGGGACTCAATGACTTGAATGGTCTGCATGGGTACGGTCCCCCACTTGACCGCCCTGAACCGATGGAACATATACTTACCGAGGATGGAGAGCCCATGCTCAATCCAGGTAAGTAGTTTGATATTGAATGAGGGGATTTTGACTGACCTCGTACGTCTTACAACAGCTGAACTTTTGACTCAGGTATGGTCCCGGAGTTCGATTCATGCTTTCGCTTGTCTCACCACAAACTAGGAATCTCTTGCCTCGCCTCCCCCTTCATGACGAAACCCTGGAACGCCGATCCCTCCATGCCGTCTTTCCTGATTATTATGAAACTACTCCTCACTCTTCATGACCCTCATTATCCTTTCCTTCTCTATCGCGTTTCAATGTGCTTTCATTCTACTATTTATAACGCCTGTCGGGAACCATGAAGCATATTGTAATAAAATGATCACAACACTTACATTTGGAGATAGATTATAAACCAACTTCTAATGTATGCGATATCCGCTGTTTATGCAGCTCTTTTTATTTGATGTGTGAGTCTGTCTTACAATCATCCACAGGCATATCGCTGACGAAGGCTCGCGAGACACATCAAGTGATGCGTCTTTCCTCTATCGGACCTTGATGTTGCCGTTGCCTTAAAATGGAGGAAAATGTGCATGGCTGTCTGTCGAAACATCCTTTTCTTTCTATGGTTACATGCAAATTAAATCCAAACATGGTGGTGTGGAGAGACACTACAGGGGATGTGTAGGTGTTGCCACTGTTGAGAGTGGCAAGGTATATATGCTACATGCTTGGGGGGTGCTTGAGGGTATATTCTAGAGGATTTGAATCTTTGGCCACTTGTATTGGGGGCCAACCTGTGATGTAAAAGATGTCGGAAATAGTGTATTATGTCAAACGACTAAATTGCTTACCTGCTGCACACACATTCCACCCATCTTGTGCCCTGCCTCGACAGCTTCCTCGAGTTTCTTTCCAGCAACGAGAGCGCCAATGAATCCGCCAGCAAACGCATCACCAGCGCCGTTGGTGTCGACGATCTGGTCGTCAGTAAGGGCATGCACAGGGAAGATCTGTGGGCTGTCGGGCTTGTCAGCCGTAACCAACACAGTAGATTGCGCGCCCTGGGTGAATACAACGACACGGGAACGGGCGGGATTCTTTTTGGGGAGGAGGGCAATGGCCTTGGCAATTCCTGTGAGGTCTTTGACGTCAGGATAGTTGTTGGCCGCTGCCCATGATTCAGCCTCGGCTTCATTCCCGATGACAACGTCGGTGAATGGGAGGATCTGGGATACTTGACTGCCAAAGAATTGGGCAATGAATGGGGCAGAAAGATTGAGAATGAAGGTCTGCGAGATAAGAAATGTCAGTGGAGGTGTTTACGATACCAATGCAACGAACCTTGCCAGCTTCAGTCGACTTGCTGCTCAATTCCAAAACCGATGAGACACCGTGGGTCAAAAAGTAGCCTTCGACGTAGTAGAACTTCGCGCCCTCGACGAGGGGAGCGACCTCAGGGGAAGAAAGGTGGGATTGGTCGAATTTCTCTGCACATCGCAAAGTGGTGACGAGGGATCTGGATGCAACATATTAGAACCCCTTTTCCTACAAGTAACAAAAATTCTAACCGATGATGGCCAGTGATGATAACAGCACAAGCTCCAGTCTTGTCGCCTTTCTTGACCTGGTATACTTGGTCCAGCCCTTCTCGCTTGTTGGCAGTCTTGAGTTGTTCAGCGAGATCGTCGTCGCCGACACATCCGGTGTAAACAACAGAGCCCGGGGGCAGTACGTACTTTTTTCGGTTTTAGATTGGGTGTCGATCAGAAATTTGCTGAAAAAACTCACAGCAGCACCGCGCGCAGCGTTCTGAGCCGCGCCTCCAGCAACATAGGTGACCTGGTGCTTCTTGACGAGCTCATCATAGCTGTTAATATATATTAGGTGCCTTCGCAAACTTAAGTTTATGCGGATGGAGACGTACATCGGTGCATGTTTCTCCTCAGCCAGAATAGCATCATTCGCCTTCAAATCGTACTTTTTGAGGAGCTCCTCGCCGTTGGAAACCTGCACGTCAAGCAGGGGGTTACCAAGGCAGAAGAGTGAGTATGAAGGGGTAGACATGATGTGCTGGTCGACGAAGAGTTGGAGGAGAGGAAGAAACGAATGTCGATCGATAAAATAAACATTTGAATCTAATCTAATCTTATCGATTTGTGCTGTTGAAATGAAATTGAAGGCAAAACTCCGCCTCTGAGGCCTCTGTCGACGCCACTTGACCGTGTTGCCAGAGTCTTCGCACTTGATAATAATATCATCTCGAGTCCATTATAATGACAACAACATGTAAATTGTATCGCCAGATCCTGGACCGCTATATCAGACTGTTCGCACAATGCGGAGGATCGCGACAGCTTGAACACTTCGATCAATCGCGCTCTTCCCCTTTTGTCGTTCCGTAATTCCTCCATCGAAGGAAGTGGACATGAAACCATCCGACATAGTGTGATGGTTTGACCCGGAATTTGCAAGTGTAGTTACAGATATCAATTTTGTGCGACGATCCCAACCTTTTCCCAATGATCGTGTTGAAGGGGCTCAGCTACATGGTGCCTGACAGTATACATCATCCAGTGTCTCCAGAGTTACGATAACTTGATACGCACTTCTTCCATAGATGTGGTATCAACTTGACCATCGACCATAGCTGGTAAATCGGTCGCCTCGGGCACATTTTGCACAAGCATTGGCAAGGGGGCTCCAGTGAATAGTGAAAGGGTTTGCGAGAACCATAGCCCCGTGTATAGTTGAACCGGTGCTTGTACGCGATGACATCTTTGCCAACGACTGGCCTCTCAATACCATGACTACGGTAAATGAAACGTGAATTGAGAGGAACGAGAAAGTGGTCGAACGATGACTCACCTTTCATTAACATGTGCCTTTGCAGACGAAAGCGAAACACTCTGTTCAAAATGTTCCGAGCAGTGGTTGCATCCCCAGGCCGGCGACACAGAGGAAGGGTAAAGGGGTTCTTGCTCTTTCACGAATCGCGTCGCTTCCGGTGTGAGAAGCTGCCAAGAACACGTTCCATGTTGCCGTGCATGCTTGATCTATGCAACTTTCAATTAACCTGAATGACGACAACGATCGCAAAGAAACCTACACATTCTGTCCATGTATATGCCTTTCGTCCTCGGACACCTCGCATAGACAAGATGGGGCAGGATCCACAAAAAAAGCGGGCGTCAATCAAGTCAAGCTGTTCTTGTGTCGTTGTCGCAGGGTCGAGCCCCAAAGAGCGTATGAGCGAGGCTGAAGTAGCACAATCGTCCGGGTTGAACTCGATTTTCAGATGGGGAAAAGAAGCATATTTTCGAGATTTTTGGTTAATGTGCGAGCAAATATTCGTCCATCCACAAAGTGCCACGCCAGAGATATGGCCAAACTGACATAACCGGCATCCAAAAACAGACGTTGCCAAATTTAAGCGGGAGTAACAGTCCATGGAAGGGACGAAGTAATCGGTACCTTCTGGCAGCAAGGAAGCCAGACGGTTCACTTGGGAGTCCATGAACTTTAGAGTGAGCTGAGGAAAAAGAGCCAGGGCGTCTTTCTTTGAAATATCTCCAACAACATCAGCTTCAGAAGAAACGAAATTATTGAAGAATGCATCTTTGAAAACTTCATGCAGAGGCATGATGGATGTCCACTGTTCTGACTTCAACGTCTTGCTATACTCCGTATAACATAACTTGACCTGACGTTTACGTTCCAGAACCAGTCTCTTCCTTTTTTGCTGATTCACCATTCTTTCAAGGTCGGGCTTAATCTTCCGGTACACTTCAGGAACAGATCATTGACAACTAAAGAGTTCGGCCGCATAGGACGCTTACCCTTCCGTGTGAGCCGCATGGTGCTATGTCTAAACAATCCAGAGAATGCAACGCTCTGAGCAGCAGCTGTATCAAGTGGGTCATGTCCTATGTTCTCAAGTCGAGTCATGCACCTGTGTTTAGATATCTCAGCATACCAGGAAAGTCGCTACGACGTAGATGCTTACCTTTTGGCCATCTCCAAAGTAAAACGTGTATTTTCAGAAAGTGAAGCACTATAAATGGTTTGTGCCCATCCGTTAGCTCCTAACGCATTCTACAACACATTGAGAGAAAACCGCAAAAGCTAGGAAAGATTTTCGTCAACTTTGGCTGTAACCTGGGATAAGAAGACTCGATAACTTTCGGCAGCACCTGGTACCTCCGCAGCAATGTCGCCCAGAAATTCCTTTACCCTGTCAACCATTGCCTCGACGTCCTTTTTCATGTACCGTGTATGGTTGGTTCCAACCATGCCGCTAAGGAGATAGCTTGTGCTGCCTATAGAGAGTCAGATTTCTAATGCCACGGATATTCGCCCACTAACCTCGCCGAAATGTTCTCGGAACGAGTGACCAGACAACAAGAAGATCGTTTTGGGGGTTTTCTGATATGATGTGGACCATATCGCGTCGGTGCACCACATGGGTTCCCTGGAGGTTGAAAGAGAGGTTAATAGACTGAAAGTTATGGGTCAGTTTTTACCCACCCAACACGCTTCACACAGTCGGTTCTGAAGAACAAAGTCGGGGAGGGCCCCACAATTCCCACAGATCTGTTGAGGGGTGTTAATTGAGATTGAATTCAGCTAGAAAATCGACTCACATCACAAGTGTCGGGACCGAATAGAAGAGATGACCACTGGGGTTCAGGTATACCCTTCGGGCAGGATGGCAAGTCCTTGTGTTCGCGAAAAGCATTTTCTCACACACCCCTGTACCTTGGATGTAGAATTATACCTCTGAAGGTTTTAGAAGATTGTATGAGGTGATAGAGGTCCACAGGGTGTAGAGACTCAAATATCTGGACAAAAGGTAAGGAGGATTTGAGAAGCAGAAGAAGTGGGCTGACCCCGAAGAGAACATCAGTCGGCAGTGCAAGAAATTTACTCAAATCCAAACGTTTGTATTTGAAGCATGTTCTGGTCGCCCTTCTTGCCTCTTTCATAATCCAACCAGTCATATAGTTCGCTTAGACATACGTTTAACCAACGCGAGCCTGTGAACATAGTTGACATGGACGAACCATGGGCATATGAGTCATACACAGCCCTCTTGCATACTTTCGGTTGGCCTTGTAGCAACTCCTCAACTCCCACTCCGTCGAAGGGAAGAACCTGGTAGGGTTCCATTAACAAATTTCTGCAAAAATCGGCTAGAGTCAAGGCAGCAAAGTCTTCTTTTTCCGTGAGAGTGCGAGCGGTGGCCGCAGAAGAGAAAAACGGTTCATTCCAAGTCATAACGCGCCCGGATGACTCGTTCATGATCTGAAGTCAAGGTCACGTGAGCGCCATAACAGAGATATGCTGCCAGCTGGAGGTACCGTTTGACGAGCGAAAAGGGGGCAAAGAATAAAAATGTGTTTCTGCCATTGCTCATAACTTTATCCATTGCCAGGGCCAAAGTGAGGACGCGTCTTTATCGCGTCGAAACTGCAAAGTCGCAGTCGTGATGGTGGATGAAAGAAGGCAAGTTGTGACGTCACTGTCATGCTCAAACCAGATCTAGGTCACCTCCTCATCTTCACCTCCATCATCTTCTTTATCTTAGGGAACTACGCTGTTCTGTTCAGCACATTCTTGCCATTATCTGGGATACGAGTGAGTGCTATCCGAACAAAACGAAAGTTCTAAGTAACATGTTGGCTGCATGGCCAACAAAGGTTCTCGACGCCCTTGCGCAGGATACCCACTATAAATACTTCTTTTTCCTGCTTGTGCCAACTGGGTCGTACTTCGTTATTGCGGACTGGGTAGGGTGGCAGTATTATCAGAACTCATAAATGGCGAGCACACATTTGCCAGTCTTCAAAGGCTTTCTAGCCTCACCTTCAAAGCTAAACTGTAGCATTAAGTAGGATACCATCTGCTCGACCCTACGTTCACACAGACGGAAAGGTGCTTGAAAGAAAAGCTCACGCACCGCTGCCCAGTCCCAAAACACGTTAACGAAACTATACTCCAAGCCTTCGTCATGCCTCTCTATATTTCGGTGAACACCTATGGAATTTGAAGTTACAACATCACTCTGAGTCTCTGACCCTCATCTACAGGCTGCTTGATCCCATATCAAGGCAACTAATCACGAACCTCCTTTGGCTAGAATCAGCAATCCCATCATCGACGATGGCGGCATGGGTGACATGGGAAGGTGTAAGTACTTTCATTCACTTTACTCTCCTTGCTCGACCTTTGATTCTGTTTTCCTAATAATAGGGTATACACGGAAGCCCTTGCTGCCCTCATAAAGCTTCACATCTTTCCACACTCCGCGGTCAAGTTGGCGGTGGTTCCAACATTCAAAACGAGTTTGCGGCAAGCTATAACTGGAGGGTGCGTATGCGTACTTGGCTATTCGATGAGTTTGACACCGAACCGATATACTCTTTTGTTATAGGGGCACAAGTGGGAGTTTTGGCGTGCCTTGAGAGAAGGATGACAAGCAAAGCAGTGTTGACATTGAATTCCTCGATGTCTTTGCGCTTGAAAGATGGGAGGTGCGCCTTTTGACCGCCATGACATGCACATGCAGTTGACAGTGTTGTCTAGACAATACTGCACTACATGGTCTCTTCTGGATCAGGGCAAAACCCAACCAAACCCTCTGTCCGTGTCCTATTCCTACTCCAGCAAAGTGGTCTTATGACGACTGTTGGGTAAGTCAAGATTCAGCAACCGTCTTACCTGAACAATTTCTCAAGTATTTACAGACAAGCCCCTTTGCAGATAACGTCAACAGGATTTCAATTCCTTCTTCATTCACCTCACGAGCAGCTTTGGGAGTTGTTATTGCAGTATCTGCACCTCACAGAGGTAGATGTCGGCTGTCACAGTCTGCTTTGACCTAATTCCTTCTTTAGGAGCGACAAATGGACTTGGTCGATGTTTTAGGGTTTCTCTTCATGCTATCAACCATGGAACTTGGCAGAGTTAGTTCTAAGACCTCTCTAGTCATTTCCGCTGGCCTTGAGCCTTAGGAATACTCCACAGAGCATCTCAGTGAAACTCAAATGGCCATGCTCGAAGATCTAGAAGACTACGGTCTGATATGGCAGCGCAAGGTTTGTGTCACATCCCTCATACTACCTTTTTCACTCACAACAAATATTACAAACAGTCATCTTCAAAATGCTTCCACCCCACCCGCCTCGCTACAACATTAACATCTTCATCCCCGCCTCTTCCTTCCTCAATCGGTAACCGCTCCGGCCCGCAAGAAGGATTCATAGTGCTCGAGACAAATTATCGGATCTATGCTTATACAGGTAAGCAAGCAGCTTTCATGCACAAAGCCTATCCGTCTCTTGAACTCCATTGGTTTGATAGGTAACCCTCTGCAGATTGCTATCCTGAACCTATTCGTCACCCTCAAATACCGGTTCCCAAACCTCGTGGTGGGCACCATAACCCGAGATAGTGTAAAAAAGGCGCTGAATGGGATCTCGGCGGATCAAGTAGGTTTATTTGATTCGGTCTCGTCCCTCCCATTCGAAAACTGACGTCACTGCTAGATTATCAGCTACCTGATGTCCCATGCTCATCCTTAAATGCGTAAAAACGTATGGTTGAAAAGTCGTAGTCCCCTGTTTTTCTTTTTGCTGATGTGAATTTAGAATCTATCACTACCAGTAACGGTTCAAGACCAAATTCGTCTTTGGGAACTAGAGAAAAACAGGCTGAAATCGCAAGAAGGTACGCGGCCATCCTCTTCCACTGCGTTTCCCCCCTCTCTCGTCCTACCCTGTCATATCTCCACCTTCATGATCTCCTCACTCTTATTTCGCCCTCGCTCTCTCTAACTCCATCTGCGTCTCTCCTTCCCGCTTCCTCTTCGTCCCACTCATCCTCATCCTCTTGGTCTCTCTTGGTCTCTCTCTCCTTCCTTGTTTCCTTCTCCTCTTCCACCCTTGCCCAAACAAAAATCTAATGCTAGCCATCCACAGGGTACCTATACATTTCCTTTGCCTCCCAAGCAGACTACGAGTTCGTCCTGGATTACGGTAAAGAACTGGGCGTCGTGTTATGGGAGAACTCGGTCAAGCGGTGTTTCTTTGGAAGCTTGGATGGCCATGCGAATATCAGAGGGTTCATTGAGAGAAGGACGGGGGCGAGTTGAGATGGGAGTGGGAGATTTCATGTTTCGACTTTTTCTAAACATAGTACAAAGTAGGTTTTACCAAATTCCTTGGTGGCGGCATTGATAATTTAATAGTAGTGATCATAGTGACCTCTTTATGGATTAGCGGATGAGAGTAAGGCAACGAATATTGTGCTACATTGAGAGTGGGTGGAGGGGGACGCGAGATGGCCGCAACTTCGGGCTGGAGATGAACGTGAGTGGAATTAGTAGGTGGCGTTCGTCCGTCGTCCGATGATGGGAAAGCGATGCCATTCGCCAGGAATTTCAGGGCGTTGGAAAAAGATGAGGTTCGACGAAGGGTGTTTGATACACACTAGATATTCAATTGAGCAGCTGATGACAACGAGTAATTTCTTTCTGCACAAAGGACTCGCGTCGTCCTTGATGACAAGCGTGGCACCAGTAGCGACAGCCACCTCCATCCTGAAGTGAAAGCGTTCCTCCAATTGAAACATCAACCCTGAGCATCTACCACCTTGCTTGTTTGCGTCTATAACCCCACTAGCACCCCTAAATGTTCCAAGGGCGTAGAGCGCAGCAGATCGCACTCCTTCGGAGTCATCAAATAGTATTTCGATCACTTTATCTTGAGTCCCTCGGTTCACTCCATATCATCCTTCGCGTCCCAGATCTGAGAAATGCACAATGCAGTCCACGAGCATTGGCTCGCAGTTGTTGAAGTTCTTGTGAATTGGCAGGTCCTTCCCATGGGAGAGGCAGCCCTAGACGGTGGTGAGGCCTGTCGGGGTGGCAAATTCAGTGCTGATGATATTCTAGGAGCAGTACCGTTTGGTGGAGACGCGCGTGACGCAGAGGTAGTAGCGCTTGATGTCCCACAGTCGGACGATTTGTGGATGTGAAGGCTCCGGCACTAGCAAAACTTCAATTCACATACTTTTCAATTTCAAAGCAGATTCGTACCGTGCGAGGACTTGCATCGAGCTCTAAACCGTGAACTCCTCTGATTTGACTCTGCTGAATGAGTACGCCGTAGTCAATCTTGCATGTAACGTAATGGGTACCGTTGACAGAGTCGTCGTTCTTGCCACTGGGTTCGCACAACTCCAGGCCGACCCGTTTTCCAATTCTTAGCGAACGATGTCGGTCCAATGAAGCGAACAACGCCTCGTCCTCGAGGAATAGTACCTAAAGGAGAATCCAAAGTGTCTCCTTCATAATTGAAGAACGTTTCGTCGACAAAGTCGATTACGACTTGAAAGCTCGACCAGGAAAGAACATAGGGGATGAAGGTAACACTGAGGTAACCGGCCTGCCATGCGCGCCGCACGCTTGTTCTTGTTTACCTCTTACTGGAGTCGAGTCGCTAGCCGGCCACTCTACAAGTACGGACTGTACAAACTCTCGAATGTGTACCTTTCATTTCGAGCATCAGCCCCCAGCTCCAGACCTTAGCTCAAGGATTACCTCCACTGTTCGAGGAGTGTGGCTAGCCTAAAAGTCCACCAGGAACATGGGACTCTCTCTGTCGTCGTTTCTGAAACTGTTCGAGAAAAAGAAGAATACCTTCGAAAAACAAAACAATCCGACGCACACGAACAGTAATCCAATTGCTACACCTGGTCTCCTCACCCTTGATATATCTTCACAACACGTACAGTTATATTCTGCTTCACCGGAAAACATTTCGAACGATGCACTCCGAGTCGCCGCCGAAGTTATGACCCCTGGCAACGATCTTCCACACACACCCTTCATCCGCCTCCTCAGCGGAACCCTCGCTGAATTCCTTCAGTACTCTGGCGCCGACGCATCACGTTGGCTGATCAACACTGCCCATGATTTGTGTGATCCTAAGCATCGCAGGGGTTCATTGTACATATTGAGGGGGGAGGAGTGGGTTCTGGTCGTGGATGCGGATCCGCTCACTGCCTCTCAGTATCTTTACCATCTTGGTCCGGGAGTTACGGTCGGCCTATCCAAAATTAGTCGCCGCGCAGGAAGGTCTCGTACCAGCACAATTGGGAATGCCTCCACAATGGCTAATCACGTCATGCAGCGTGATGGAAAGTGCTGGGTAACACGAGCACGCCGTATACTAATAAACAGTCACATCTGCCCCAAGCGCATGGGGGATCATACCGCAAGAAATATCCTTCGAACATTCACAACCCTCGACCCGTCTGCTGATGTCTCAATCTTTGATGAGATCTTTGGCTTGAATTTGATAAGCTATCTGGATGGTTTGTTTGATGTTTATGAGTTGGGCTTTTATTATATTTCTCCAGTGAGGAGTCTGTATCTTCTCATCTCCAAAATTTCTATTGATCAACCATTTAGGGCCTTTATGAGTGCCATGTGTTTGCCAATTCAGATGATGAAGATTACACTGTGGTTGGAGTATTTGAAAGAGGAGACAACTGCTACAACTACCCTCTCCTTCATGGGCAACCTGCAAGCCCTCCCCAACCCCACAGCCACAATCTTCCTCCAGCAGGCTTATTTCACTGGCACTACATGCAATGTGTCATCAGGAGATTTGGGCATGATAACTATAAAGACCTTCCAAATATTTATCTCTTTGAATTTCCTCTTCGGATGGAAGGGGATTCTGATGACAATGGCACAGACAGTGAGGCACAATGGCCATCAATGCTTCTGGATTTAGGGAGGGATGCAGAGAGTGCTATTGCAGAGCATGCAGAACACCAACAAGCAGTTCAGAAGTGGAGATCATTGATAACATAAATTATCACTTGCAGATACTTTTCATTCTTCTGTTTTGATTTCTCTTTGACAGGTAGCACTTGGTGACATATCTGCACCCTCCAATTATTCACATTTTCTCAAAGTGTCTTCACATTTGCTTGTATCCGTTGTTTGTCGAAGGAGAAGCTCGCGTTTGACAGGACATCAATTCAGATCACCCCCTGTCAACATAGTATTTCATCACTACGGCCATGAATGTCGAATCCCTTTCGTACGCGTCCACATCTACTTGTACTCCGACTGCGAATTTCGAAAGCTCGGGCGACGCTGCAAAAACCGTATTCAACCGCACAGATAGTTCACGGAAAATTATGACCAACGGCAAAGTTTGGGCAAGGTTGCTTCATATCAAACCCTTGGAATCCGCCGTTTACGCGTTCATTTTGTCTAAATATTGATGTACCTGGTGATAAAGATCAGATCCTTGAATCTGGTTGGCAAACCACCTTGGGATAATCCATGTCCAAGACTGTCAAGCGCCTCGGATGAATCGCTCTTTGCTCCTTTCTTCCTTTCTCCTTGTTCAGCACCTTCTTATCGCTGCGGGGCGGCTACACACTTCCTACAGCTGTTTTCTTCATTTTCAGAATGGCGTCAATTGGGTTATCAGATATTCTCCCTCACCCCGAACTCAAGGAATCCCTTCAAGGTGGTTAAAACGCGAAAATGATAGCGATTGCGCTGTTGGCTTTGACAGGTGAGCGCTTTCAGGACATTCAGCTGCAAGACTGCAACGCAACATGCGCACTTAGGTTATGAATATTTTCTTACTGTCAACGATGAGGCGCGTTCGCTGTCCCTTCACGTGAATCTATCGAAGTCTTAATCCTGCAATGACAGATCGAGTATTTCTGGAAGGGCCCTTGGTCACCGTCCCATGGACTTTTCTTCTTCGTCAGTCTTCCTATGGACCGGCTTTGTGCTGCATGTGTTGACAACTCCAGCGCGCAGAACCGATACGTTCCACCATGTGTGATAATGTGCGTCGTTCTCGAATTAACTAAGCACCGAAAATCTGAATGCAATGCACTCAGCCTCTCTATTGTTTGTGAGCTGCAACTGCAAAATCTGTGTACCGGTCCTCACCACCATCCTCAGGCTTTACGATTCCCAATCCATCTCCTGATGTAAGATGTATCAATCTTAGCTTCTCAGCTCCTTTGAAACAATCTACGCTATATCCAGGTGTAAGGCTTAGTTTGAACATTCGCGCGACATGTAATAACCAGTGTAACAACATAACAGCTGCAAGTCAGCTATCCAAATGAGCTTCCTCTTGGCTCTCGTATCTATCAGCGTCGTCCAAGGTTCGTGGCGCACATTTCTTCCAATAAATACACAACTCCTATCGTTTCCACCGCAGCAATTCTCGCTACCAGAGTCTGGTGCCTATTCCCAGAAAATACAGCCGTGAAGATGGGACTTGTCGTTGCCTTCCTCGCCACATTCGCAACATCCCTGACGTTTATGTATGTCTCTGTGACACAATTGCAGGTTTTCTCCGTGATCCCAAACCCGCTCGTTTTTGATGCTTCCGGATGCCGTGCGTCACGACCCCCTCAATTCTGGCGGGTATATTTGCCTTCTTTGGTATTACATGTGAGTTTTCGCAAACGGTTATAGAAGAAGTGTTAAAACTATCGTCTAAGACGGGTTTCTATATCATGACGGTTTATCGTGCCGTATCAACTCCGAATTACTGGAAACGCGCACCCATCAGGAAACAGGTTTTGAGAGAGTACAGTCATATTTTGTTAATAAAGGTTTCGTTTTCTAAGTCAGGTTTTCAGCGGGGGGATTTTCTATCTTGTCGTATTCTGTAAGTTTTTCTTTGCAGGTGCTACCTTACGGTATTAATCGACATTCAGTTGCCGTGGGCCTCACATCAATAGGGTCTTTTATCACAACAATTCCCCAGGTATTTATACCCGGTTATTCTGAAATTTCCAACTGCATTTGACCTTTTCTAGATTAACATCCCCGCGGTCTACACCCCGTTCGTAATTTTCTTATATATCTGTTGATAGAATAAATGCCCTGAAATGCTGACCACGCTGTTAGGGTTGTACTCGCCACTACATCCGTGGCGGTGACTCGCGTCATGTTAAACATTCGGTCTATAACGGTCGATGAAGGAGTCGAATGGATCGTTAGCGTGTACATCAACCCAGGATCATCTCTGGACATCCACAAGGCCTTGCCAGATAGTGAAAAGCTCTATCGGATTGATCGTAAATTTCGCGTTGAGCTTTGAACTCTGTTAAGCCTGCAGCCATTTACTATATTTCTTTTTGCTCGCTGGTCGCCCCTTGCTTATACTTGCTTGTATGTATGTATCACTTTTGTCCCTTTATTCCGTCTCTTTATCTCTTTATCTTGAGGAAACTTTGGGTCTCCCCTTGTATCCCGTATTTTACGTCTAAGTAGTATCAACGCGTACTATGAACCCCTCTCACAATGAACCTCACCACTTCTGGGCCTCGGGGAAAAGTCACACCTCAATATCCTTCAGACGCCGTCACGATGCAGTCATTATCCATCACGTATTTACGGTGCGCTAGAGGGAGTGTGTATGTACGACGAGTCAAAGCAGTGTCTGGTGGTCAATAATAGTGTCCAAATGTCCAAGAGCATGTACAGTAATTATGTTAAGGCGTGAAAATTAAGGAGTGAGTACGCTGCGATGTTGACTGCATTGTACATACGTGAGTACAGATGCTTCTGTGAAGGGATGAGGATGGTGAGTCGGGGTAAGATAAGCCTGAGAAGATGGGATGGAGTAGTCCAAAATGCGGGTGTCTGAAACGGAGAAGGGATGTGGGAAGGAGCATTCCTTCCCTCAGCATGGTGGCAGGCCAACCTTCTGCCAGTTGGCAAACGGTCAAATTAATGACCTACAACGCTAAAAGCACCCAGCAGGGTACTCAGACAGGCAAGTGTTACGGCTAGCATCACACCATGTGGGAGATGTGCGGTTGGGGTAGCACTATCAAATGGCACGTAGGAGGGCGTCGATTGTGATGTCCCATCGTCGAAAGAGCCTCCCGTTCCGCCACCTGTTAGGTTAGAGCCATTCGGCTACAAAATGGGTAGGCGGCATGATCAGTAAGTACATGAGCAGAGAAGTGTTGTGCATAGACCCACCCCAATCGGTCGCGAGTCGTCTTCGAACTGGCAAGTGCTGGAGCTGCAGATACACTTTCCACCGATTGGGTCCCAGAAAGGCGTAGAGCAGTTGGTCGGGACTAAATATGACGTGAGTGGACATGCCCTATGGCATTGGAGCGGAGTGATACTGACGGCGAACACGTGGGTTCTGGCCTGGAATAACTTGTTGTGACGGATTGGGGTTTGAAGGCGTTGGCTCAATAGACGGACATCCATACTGAAAAAAAGTAGTTGGGCAGGGGTACCAAAGCGTAGCACTGCCAAAGTCACTCACGCAAGTATAGAAGGGAAAGTCACTGAAAGCGCAATGAGAGAGCATCCCGTTCTCGTTTTGTGGTATACCGTTGCAGATCTGCAAGCCGGAGTCGATTTGAGGTGTGCTGCATTTGAGAGACTCAACGGAGTCGAGATTGGGAATAGGGACAGGGTTCTGGACCCAGTCCAGGAGCTGCTCGTTCGAAACAATCCAAACTACATTAAAACGAAATTCAAGGAATTTCACGGAGTAGAGAAATTGGCATACCGTTGGGTTGTATCTGTGCCCAGTCCAAAAATGCGTTGATCATGTTGATGGTGCTTTGGCTTGCGCTAACACCAGGATATGTTGTCTAAGACAATCACTCAGAAAGACGAAGCTCATAATATATGCCGAGACGCACCGATAAATGAATAGGGTGGGTATACAAACCGATGGGTTGCCGATTCCCATTGTAATGAGCGGTGAAAGTGTTTTTCATGTACTCGAAGGTCGCAGTATCATTGACCTTGGTATTGCCAGCTGCAACGTCTCTGAAAAGCCAAGGTCATCGAACAGCAAAAGAGCCCATCAGAAACTAGGTCTCACAACCATGGGTCCATCAAATGTGGTCCGTCGACGCCAGCACTGTCAAAAAAAGCGTACATGGGAATTTCCCAGAACCCGGGAAGCTTGGGTTCGCCCTTACACAAGCCCGGAGACAAGCAGTTGTTTGCGAGCCCATAATCCAGCGTGTATGGCCAGAAGGCGTCGGTTCCGGGGTCAGTGACAGGGATGGATGCCGCGGTGCTGGAGTCATACGAAAATTCGGAGGCTTTGAGGATCTTCAGTGTATCGGCTGAGAAGTTGAGGAAGGGGGCGCGGAAGCCCTTGATGGCGTTCAGAGGAATCCCAGCGAGAGCGTTGAGAGCGATGAGGTTTCCATTGATTTCTTCTGGTGGTGGAGTGCCGACGTGCGTCATACTGCATAGCGGAAATTATCAATAGGCGGCAGTCGGTTGTCGGGCAGTGTGAAGACTGACGTATGATCCGCGATTTCGTTGCCTGCAACATACCAATCTGCCGACAAATTTTGCTCATTAGCACTGAAGAAACGCTAGAACAGGGGAATGGACCTGTGACGAGTGTGTAATTGGTGTAGTTGAGGGAAGTGAAGTAGGTCATTTTCGGCCTGCATCCATTTGGGTTCTTTCGCTGGGCGAGGAATTGGTTGACAGCGTCGAGAGTATAAGATTGGACAGCATCATCAGCACTGTAGACGATGAATTGGGGCACATCTGACTGGAAAGAAACCAATTCAAATTAGCAGACTGATGATAGCCCAGTGCGATCGGGATTCGCCAATACCCTCGTTCGAGGAGGCTGGACCTCTCATCTCGGAAGTAACGTGACACTCACAGCGTTCAGTCCCCCAGGAGGATTGGTACTCGCACAATTGCAGGATGGTAGCCGACATAGTGTAGGGTCGCATGAATACCCCGCAGCTGAGGAGCTTGAGGTAGGCCCAGAAATCCCCCCGTCCTGCGCGAACGCAAGCAAAGGTGCCAAAGTCGATAAGAGAACCAATGACAGCATCTGTACGGCAGCCCCAAATTATATGGATTTGTATCGTGTGATGCGGACCCGGGATGGGTGGTCGTATGTCGTCTCAATGCGCACGACGGCGGATAAGGGAGAAGAGGGGGCGATGAGTGGAAAAAAGGAAGGAAGGAAAACGAGAATGAGAAGAAAATAGTAAAAACTGAAGTTCCGTCGCCACCACTAGAAAGCTTTTTGCCGACGTAATTAGTCACCATCAATCCCTCATTCATGCAGCAAGCATCAAGGTCTTGAATGTTCTGCGGTCGTTCTTGCTGATGAATCCCCGTAAGGATTACCTGGAGGAAGTGCTTGCCACTATCTTGCTTTCCGCCTTGCGAGCTCCTGTAAAATATGATTCTTAAAAGACGGTGACGGCAACATCGCGTTGGATCTATTTTGGGATGCCTATTTATAACTTTGTGTTGACCTAAATTGGATTTGAATTTTAGTTTGTCGTTGCAATAATCCTGCATCTGGCAGGCCAATGGGAGACATGACCCAAATCGGTGGTAAGACCAGCGTAAGTGTTGCATGCAAGCGCAGCACCCACTGCATGGGGGGACAGACATCAAAGCAAGCCAAGCTGCCAAGCAGCATCCGAGGAAAAGGGCACGGTGTCACCTAGCCGCAACGTTGACGGTGCACATGATTCTTGAGTCAATCTTCTGCTTGCTTTTCCAAGGTAGAAAAAGCCTGAGGTTCAGCATCGACCTCGAGCTCCACCTCAACCCCATTGACCTCCACGCTTGATATCGATAACCCACTCTTCTTGACCACAGCAACTACTTTCTCGATTAAAGTACCTTCGGCTCCGTCTATCGCTTTATTGTGCCCCTTGAAAGAGACGTCTTTCAGCCCCGAAAATAGTGATAACCAGCGCGGTAGAACTCCCCACAGATCCATATCGCCCTGACGAAATTCCTGGTCAACAATCAGTGCAAGACTCGAGATCGTGTCCAAGTTTGGTTGATTCGGAGGGGCGCTCAAATCATCAAACATCTTCCACCCAGGACTATCTCCAAGCAGCACCTCCAAACTAAGCGTCAGGGGCCGGCATTGTTCCCCCAACAGACTCGGTATTGAAGCCGACTTTGAGTGCCTGAACCAATGCGAGAAACCTTCATTCTTGAGGTTATACGATATGAAGAGATTCTCGAGGCACGCCAATCCCATGCGCTGTGATGACAGCAACTTGAAGACCCAGTGTGACGGAGCGTAAAGTGAGATGAGTGCCGGGAAGTCGGGAAATGACCCTAACTCGTAGTCGTCCAACATTTCCACGTCCCGGCCAAGAGAAAGTGAGCTGAGTTGCGGAAAACGAGCCAGAAACCAGATGAGGTCTACAGGTTTAATTCGCTTTAGTCGCGATAGGTTGAGCTCTGCGAGATGAGGGATGGCGTCAGCAATAAGTTTGAATATAGCCAACCAGCATCTTTTGTTTATTGACAGATTTGATAACGTCAAAGACTCGATTGCCGAATGCTGAAGTGCCGCCACCGTCCAATGCAAAATCGGGGGAATAAAGAACATTGTAGACATGATAGTGAGTGCTCGCAGCGCAGACTTCTCGCGTGCAGCGGGGGAGAGTTCTGTCAGCACGATAGTCTTTGCTCCTTTGACACGGCAGAATTCCCAATTCTTGCCCCTGAGCACCCTGTTCATTTCTTCTTTTTTCCCCTTCCCAACGGGGGTCGGACCAACCCAACGCAATAACTCACGCAACGAACCCGAGAACAAAGTCGGCGAGCTCGTTGAGCCTACACGTTTCCCACACCGGAACGCATAAGCGTGTGCCATCAACCGTCCTCCGCGTACCGTCAGCTCGCTGCACGACTTCTCCAAGATGCAACTCAGCAGATCCCCTATACATTCGGACCACTCTTTTAACACCTCCTCAGGGAACCCAGAGCAGCAACAGCAACGGTCACCTCGAAACACCAGCTCAACATTCCCCAAGGTCAACATTCGTCCAACAAACTTGTGCAGACGTCGGACACTTTGGGTAACGACGCGGATGTCTTCTCCGGACGGTACAGGAAACTTGCATATGAGCTTGCCGTCAATACGCGTAACGTGCCCAGCGATGGAGGCCACTTCAAGTGTGGATAGGGCGTCGCCATAGGTAGGGACCCCATTGATAGTGAGTTTTGTATACGCTGTAGGGTCGTTGATGCTGTGTCGATTTAGGCAGATGGGTATAAAGAGATGATGCAGGCGCCGGCATACTTGCGCCAGGATGTAGAGAAGGGAGGTGGGTGTGTCTGAGTTGTCAAAGATTTGGCAAAGAAGTTCGTTGGGTAGGTGAAGGAGCCCCGTTGAAGATGACGATTGCGCCATTTGGAAGGATGCGGTTTTCGCCAGTTGGGAGTACTTCATAGAAATTGTCAGTACAAACACCCGTCTTAAATAAGATGAACGTGCCAATGAAGTTTTTATCGCAGACCTCATTGAAGCAGCACACCAAGAGTAAATTTATGAAACTCCTTGATTCCAGGTACTTGTTGAAGGCAAATTGTCGGAGTTTTCTAATTAGGCATCACAACCGGTTCTAACTTGTTGTGGACGTTCCTATCAAAATGGCCGTTATAAACAGAACCAACCAAAGAGTTTTTAGTCACAATTTTGGTCCCATCCAGGGTGGCAACTGGTTGCAACGGAGCTTGTGACGCGATTGTTGCACGATTGTAGCCAATTTTGGGCTAAAAAACAGAAAAATGGGCAACTTTCAACAGTTAGCACCGGTTAGAACGCCGATTCAATGCCGTCCCAATCTCAGCTGGTTGTGACGAAAGAATTAAATCTCCGACACACGACCTCCACAACACGATCATCTGATGATCATCATCAACATTACCCTCCTAAATCTTCGTGTAACTCATTGGCAATGACATAAAAAGGGGGAGAGGAAAAGCTGAGCGTGGACTTGGAGGGAAGGTCTAGTAGAGCAATTGTTTATTGCATGTCAATTACATAATTTAGCTTATCACCGGAAAATCCGGCGGGGGCATGTGGTCTAATTTTAGACCATAGCAGATCTCAACGGGCCTTGCTGAAGAAAAGTGACTCTGGTCCACAAAAAAAAACTACAGGTCACGTAGCACCAGGGAGTTTTATATTTTATAACAAGCAAGATAATTGTCGGCCAAATTCACGTGAAAATCAATCACTAGGGTGAGGCAAAGTGAACGATTGCCCCATTATTCTCTGCCTCATCATAGGCCCACTAGAAAATAGTCAGTGATTGAGTTGGGACAGACGTTCAAACATCCACCGTCGCCGATCCTAGTGAATGTTCCTGACTTGAACCAATAAAGCTCGTACCTGCTCGGTAAAGTCAAAAGAAAAATCTGGGTAAGTCCTAGACTTGCTCAGCTGGTGAAGAATTGGACCTTCATTCATCCCGCTTTTTAAAGAAACCTGAGGGTCCACTGAACGCGAGTTCTGGTTTGCCAAGGCGTTTTGATCTTCTGTAGCACCCGAAGGAGCGTGAGGCGGCAATGCCATGGCGTCTCACTGTTTCGTTGCTCGAACTAACACAGCAGTAACCCATCCCAAACGAGATGTTCTTGAGACGATGTCGCCTTATTTACTTGCTAGTGAACAAGGAAACGAAACAGATAGCCTGAGATTGATCTTAAGTGCCAAGGTGGCGACTACACAGAGCGAACTGGTGCAAAAAACCTTGATAAGGTTAACGATGCTTATTTCCCTAGGCAACCTGGCGTGGTTCTGATACAGTCAGCCCCCATCAGCATCGCGTACAAGACGCATCCACGCCTACCAATCAATGGCTATAGATATATATAGCACGAAGGCTCCTTGGAGGGATGAAGCCCTATCCGTACTTACAAGAAAACAAGTCTAGCCACGTCGATGTCATCTGCAATTAGATTGTGTTAATTGAAAAGGGATGGGGCCCGCCACCACTCACGTCTAATTTCAAAGTGCATGGGTTTGATCGTGATACGGTGGCAATGCACGGTAAAACCAGTCCAACGCACTTGAAAGAGCTTGCTCCAGAAGAGATGCTAGCATTTGCAAAGTAGCGAGACCCAGATGGATGCCTGATAAATGCCGTAGAGTAGCATCCAAGGATCCGAATCCAAACGAAATGCTCCGAGACGATGGTGTTATACCCGCAAAGATCCCCGGCATTTTTAAACGGTTCCGTCGTGAGTGAGACGCAAAGTTTATATATGCCATAGACGTTTTGTCGTCAGAGATAACTCGAAGCAGTCGAGCATGTAGATGGAAAAGCTGTGAAAAGAAATCCTCCAGCAAGGGGGTGCCGGCATCGAAAAAAAAGACCCGGGGTCGATTTTTTTGTTAAGGCAACTTGAGGTGGACTAACTGACTAACGTAATCAGGCACATGTCCAAATATGGTAATATTAGTAATATTTTTACATCACACTTGCCTCCTTGTCCTTGTGCAGACTCCCTACACACCGCGCAAACCCATATTGAGGTGCCTTTTCAACCCATAGTAGTAGGTAAGGTTGGGCAGAATACTGTGGAATTGCATACCCATCAAGTTTCACAGCCATTCTTTCTACACAGCAGTGCATTCATGGTGCAATTTGGCCAATTTGACAGATAAAATTGTTTATCATTAAAGTAACCTATTTACCCTTTACACAAAGTGTTGAACCTGCATGTAGGTGATGCAATAGGGTAAGTAAGAGCTGCTGGAAGTCCTTTGGATGCAGAAAATTGAGAACAGGGGTTCGGGATGTGACCAAAAATGTCACGTTGCAACACAACCAAATAGCACTCATGAAAATTAGTTGTGCACACTTGGTGAACAGCAAAGCAAGCAGCTATATGGTAGTATGTGACATAAGGACACTTAATGCAAGTCAATATGAGGTTCTGAAGCAATCCTGATCTCTAGTTGTCGAGACCTCCATTTTTTTTTTTTTCAGACCATCAGCTGGACTAACTAACCGGGTATAGGTCCGGCATTCTATTGCCGGAGCCCCCTTGTCCTCCAGCTCCAAAACAACTCCAAATACATCACCTCCTCCTCGAGTATGCACAATTACTGGAGTAGTAACCTGCAATTGCATTTGAAGAGAGGCATTGATGCTTTGGAGAGTGAGCGCTTTATCGTGAATGCTGTGCAAATACGTATTTGGAGTGGGGATACGACAATATCTCAATAATGGTTGCTAGAGTATGCAACGTTACAAGTGGTAGTAATAAAGGCAGTGATCATGGAGTGCACATACGTAAAAATAGTATAGAGCGGCTAGAAGATGATAGGCAAGTGGTATGTAACTACAACAACAGGAAGGGGCGCGGGATAGCTGACAGAATAAGTGAATGGATAATCGATAGGATCAAAATGCGTCGGAGCGTTGATAGTCACCAGAGGATTCCGTAGGAGACTGCGGGATCTCGGTGCGCAAAGACGAGACAGCCATATTCGTAGCGAACCTGATAGGCTCAGAGGGGCCGTATGACATACTAGACGGATAGGTACTTCTGTAGGAAACTGGCGGCGGCGAGCGCGAGTACGAATTTGACCAGCGGTGACTGTAGATTGTTCGTGGGTAAGTCATAACAGGTGAATCGGGTGGCTCCGTTCCAGGGGAGTACGGTTGATGGGGCTGTGTGATCGGAGGCGAAAGGGAAGGAGGTGAATAACGACGCTTGGGTTTTGCATCCAGCTGCACGACAGGAAGTGAGTCTGGGGCTTTGTGGACCTTGAGGTGCTGGAGGAGGTTGTCGTGCCGGTTAAAATATTTTTCACATAATGGAAATGTGCATTTGAAAGCTGCGCGTGCCGCGGGTCAACCAAAAATGAGAGGTCTAATGAAAGGACGAGACTTACGTTTTTCGTGGGTATGAATGGACCGGATATGGCGCTTAAGGTGCTCCCCTCGATGAAAACATTTACCACATCCTTCCACTTTACAAATGTAAACCCTCGCATTTTGCTCCGTATCAGTCCCGCCAGCCGCCTTGGTGGGTACTCGTCGACCACGACTTTTCTTTGTCAAGAATGGCACAGGAGTAGGAAGGACAGCTCGTGGTCGGGCGGAACGTGGGGACGGTTCGTTTTCGGATGTCACTCTGACGCTGTCAGGGGTGTCGGCGCCCTTAGCGTGTTCATCGGAATCATCAAATGCTCCGCGCCTTGACGATGATGGGGTTGAGCGCACCTCCTCCTTGTCGGACTCTGACTCAGGAGAAGGCTTTGGGATAGTTTTCTGTTTCTTCCGAGGTGCAGGTATCCTTTTGATCTCTATTGGAGAATCATCGCGGGGTCGACGCTTAGGCACACGACCCGTCTGAGATCGCGTGGTAGGGCGGCGAGGAGGAGACAACGCGGGTTGGGATGTTTGGGCTGGAAGTTGTTCATTGGCTGATGCAGATTGCTCCTGTAAGATGACGAAACAGGAGTCAGACGGAGTCCACGCGCCTACAGAACGTTGAACTCGGGCGTTCGACGTACCACAGCTTTGGAAAGAGACAACCCACACTCGCCAGGGCTTTCAACGATGGGGATTCTGCTCTCCAGTGACGTTTCCATCTCCTAAAGTTGTAAACAAGAAATGCGTCAAAGAAGCTTCAATGTGACGGCTTCAATGGCCGCGTCAGTGCCGTACAGAATCTTCCCAGGCATGCAACCTTACCAAAGAGCGATATTGGAACTCAAATGCTCGCCCAAGATATATGGCGGTTTGAAAGACAGAAGAGAGGGAGGATAGGGGGGTTATGAATGTGAGTGAGAAGGAGAGCCCCTAAGTTCGTGACTTCAGAGAAGAAAAAGGTTCCGCTTTTCTTTTTTAACACGTGGGGCTTACTTCAGCAGTTGTATGACTAAGCAAAACAACGAGGTTTTTGCGAGTCGTCATGGAATCTTCTTCCCAACCTTTGTTTTACGGCTACGCGCTGCTACACTGGAACTGGATGCGTCTCTAGAAATCAAACTCTCTACCTTTGAGGAACCCCGCCGTCAGCGCTTTTCTTGAAGCGAGTCCCAAAACATTGACAAAGCTATAGCCTAGACGCGTCAAGTTGGAAACACTGAAGTTGGTTCTTATTTCTCCATGTCAATTTCGCGTCGCATTGATTGAACGTAGGGTGTCTCACATCTGCCAACACAAATATATATGATTTGGTTTAAATTACCCAAAAGAGTAAGGCCGTGAACTTTTCTTGACCTTTGCGACAATAACTTTTCTTCAATATTGTTTTCCAAGGGCTAATCGCCCACTTACGGCTTTCAGACTTCGTTCACCGACAGTGTCGCACCTAATAAAAGGTAGCGTGGTCTTCACTTCCAAATCACCACGGTGCGGTCGATTCAGGGTAACCGACCATTCATGACTTCGAGAGCGTTGACTCGTCGAACCTGACGGATATGACGAAACACGTAAAATGAATGCCCCAAAAGATGCCGTCACCGTCGCTTCATGCCAGTTAACGCAAGGTCACTCCCCATTGTTTCTCTATCACAAATAATGCCCCGTTTTCAGTTTGCTTGGAGAATGTGCTCCATCTTGAACACTCTGGCGTTCCGAAGTCCGGTGCTATCAGCGCAGGAAGGAGCTTATAAACGGACGCCAGACTGCTGCCAAATGTGGCGCTCATATCATTCAAGGTCATCCAATCTCTGGTACCATTCTTGCTTTATCTGGTCGATAGAAGTCATTCCATCTGCAATCAGTCAATTCATGAGCCACGCGATCCACTTCAAGTCCCACACTAGCCAGCAATTCCCAGCAAGACCTCGTACTTCAACTGCTTCGACTAACCTCAATGGGCATGCTTGACACTGTGGATCGAACATCTCCATCAACTTGCCAGGATACAACCGAGAAGGAAAACTCTAGCGGATACCGTCTGGGTGACAGATATGGGTCTGGTTGAAACCCATTGGTATCCCTTCCCTCTTTTGCTATTCCCGATATCGCAAACCAGCTGCCCGTCGACCCTTGAGCACGACATTCGATCGTCGCCTCCCTCAAGGACATTATCTGTCGAAGAGTACACCCTAGCCCTCGATTCGACTTCGATTCCCTAATGAAATCGCTGAACAAACGTTCGACATTGGACCAGCCACTAATATACTGCAGTCACAGATGCTGAACAATTGCATACAAGGATCGCGAGTACTCACCCGCTGATATACTGGGTCGTGTATGCTTCAAGCGATCAAGACCTCTTCGGACACCCGTTATCTATTTCTAGCCTCTTGCCTTGTGACGAAAACGGAACAATGCCAGCTGCAGGCTAACGCCAAACTCAGCTTTTTCGTAATCAAGCCCTTGTTATCCCATGATCCTCCGCCTCTAACCTGGAATTTGGAGCCTTGAACTGTCTTCTCTGTTTCTGGAAAGTGATAACGGGGCAAACTGTCCTTTATACCCCATTTTCTCCGATCACGGTCGGCGGCGTTTCTTCACCTATGGATCATTTGACATTCTCAACATAGAACACAACGTGATCCACCAATCACTCTAGTCCTCTCTAGTCCCCGCGTCGGGATTGATAACTATTTTGAGCATCAAGATAGCCTTGGCCTTTGCTCTGACCCAAACGCAGATTTGACGGCAACCTTCTTCCCCACGAGGTATCGCTCCTTCGTCGATCCACGCATAAGTCTATTTCTTGTTTTCCCGTCGTCATCAACGATCAGTCTGGCATTTACGGCTCCCGACTTTTCCGACAAAGCTCTGGCTCCTCCGCAGCAGTGTTGCACCAATTTATTCACGGCGGTCAATTCATCGCTTGATGGCCGCTGAAAACGATCATTTGGGTTCTTCACCGCCTTCAGCTGGCCTATGGGAGAAAGTTTTTCCCGTATCTTTGCGCAAAGGTCTCGTCCAAGCTTTTCTTCTCCCGCGAAGCGCGTAGGAATCTACGGCCGTACCCATGTACAGGTAACCACTGAGCTTATAACTGACACGTTGGCGCGCAATCAAGTACGACAGTCATCCGACTTGATTTTGAGATGGTACGTAGAGGCGCATCCATAGATAAAACATCGTCTTTTACCAAAATAGAGCCTGAAGACGCAATCCAAGAGTCATTGATCACACATGGGTGAGGTTATCATCTCGGGATTCTTGTCAGTGTTTGTTCCTTGCATCATGATCATCATAACTCACTGCTTATCGTCCTTGTCCGTATCGACTGCATTGCGATTGCGGCATTCACACAGAACGCCCGTAAGCGCGTACAAAGGAACTTTGGTTGTACACTCCCTGGTCTTCTGACCAATCAGTTCAAGCCTTCTTTGGTGACTTGGGTTACGATTTGGCCACTCCACCTCCCTTCTTACGCACGCTTGCAGACGCTTCTCTTTCGTCGCTCTTATTGATTGGTGAACCACGACTGAACGTGGATTGAAAGTATGTGGTCATCGCTGGACGAGTTTCGCTTCAGAGTAAAAAATACTCTGGAAAAGTCCATGTGATTTTCCTATTTTGGCCAACATACCCTTTCAGTCGCATTCATCACTTCTGGAGATCTCTCATGGGCTAAGTTGTACTATTACAGATACGTCCGGGGAAGAGGCGAACGCTATCTGACTTGGAAATCTGATCCTTGGCGACATATTTTTGTCAGACGGGTTATAAACGAGAATAGTGCGGCGTCACCTGCCCATCGCTGACCGAACACGACGGAAATACCCTGGGAGCCGACTTTGTTCGATAATCTGGGATTGTTATTTTTTTTTCTAGTCCTGCTGGCGACTATTCAAAAAAAAATTGTCAATGGATTCTTTAATCCCTCTCATACCCGATCTTAAGAGTACGACGGTACGTTATCCATGTGCTATTGCGTTTATCTACTTATCAACCATCCTTTAGAACCCTGTCAAACGCTGAGTCTCGAACTCCCCATCTCGTCACCTCGTCGCCGGTGCGTTCAGCCCGTACGGATGTTACCGGTTTAGTTTACGATCTTATTCAATCGGTACATATACTTTGGACAGATATGATCTCTTCCTAAATGAATCGGGTTCACAACGGCCTGCCTGAGACGCTCCGTCCCAATGGCATAATAGCGCCATCTCGATTCTCGAATCTAATGAAACTGGGATAGCATGGCCGTTGCCGTATCTCTGAGACTACAGAGCTGTATCTGTGGCGCTCAGGTCTGATATGGCCTCGGGGGATCATGGAGTTCCTTCCACGCATTCTTCATTTATTATAATTAATCCTCGAGGTGAGTCTTCAATTTTCGAGTTTTCCTGTAACCCTGCTGCCAGGTTCCTTCGACGTTGAAGCGTCAGGCGCTGCAGGCTCAGATCACTTTACGTCGTCGCGGCTAGTACTGAAATGGGTTCTCGCAGGTTCTGACGCCTGGCGCCATGGTGTTGTACAGGTGAGAATGGAGTTAATGCTTGTCAGATAAGGACCTCTACTGAATCCTTCCAAAATAGCCACACTTCCAGTGAACACGGACGGATACAACTACCAAAGAAGAGGTTCCCATTTACAACAACCTGCAGTGCGCTTGGCATATTTTCTGGCATACGTCTTCTATGCGATACAACTCTTCGAAGTATGAAATGTCTTTTCCTTGACGTAAGGATGTTAATTCTTACGTACTCAAGAGCTACTCAAGGTCTTCTGACACGCACACTTTGCGGGCCCTGGCAGGTTCTGCCAAACTGTGCAAGGCACGTTAATTTTATGGAGCGCCACGCCAGACAAGATTTAAGCCACGCCAGGCGTTCGTTTGAACTTCCCTCAGCGCACGAGAGAATTGATCGTATAAGCATAATTTGTGAGTGATCAAGAAGGCCGAGAACGCCTGCCTCGGTTGGAGAGAGCTCGAGCTGAAATCTTGTCTGGCTTGGCGGCGCTCGACAATTCATTTGAGAGCGCCTATGGAGAAGGACTGATGAGTGTGAAATTACAAACTCTGCGCACGTATTCCACTGACTAGTCGCGGCAATGACGCCTGCTGAATGAATTCGGGCCAAACAAAACCCGGTGTACGGTGTACCTCGAATCAACATCATATCTAAATGAATTGGCCTCGAGTCGCATCGCAGTAAAAAAAAAATTGTTCATTGACATAAAGTATAACCAACGTGGTGGTAATTAAATAATTGATCGTTCTGCGCGGCGCAGCCTTTCGAATTCAATTGACGATCAGTCGGCAGTCAGCAGTCCATTACCTTCTGGCATCAATTATTCATGATTATAATGTAGAGCGATCCCGCCAATTGGCATTACCCGGCATTCTGCATCCCACATGACGCAGCACCACGAACGCCAATCGAGTCTTAATTTTTCTCAAATATCATTTCAATGCTAGACGCTAACTTGAAAGTTGATAGGTTGATGTAGAAAAGGCGTCAACTTTGATGCGAATGCCAAGCGCTTACGATCTACGCGGCCGACGAATTCGAATTCGACTTGCGGCTAACATGGACAGGCGGATGGATATCGATATAGTGTACTAATCTGTATGATGATAGGCGTGGTGACGCCGCGTCCTCTTTCGTGATCACAAGTTGATAACATCTCTTGTTTCGAGCCCTTCAATTCCAAGCTGCATTTGGGAATGGGACCCTCAAGATGCGCGGGACCCTTGTACTCAGGACCGAACCTCCGCTACAAGATACCTGCCTACCCCATCAAGTTTGAAAACCGAAAGACGAGTCTTACAAAAGAGAGGTAGATATATATCAACACCGCATGCGCACGCGCGTTGGTGTACGTGACCAACCTCTTGAGGCTCGATCGTACAAGTACCAGGCTTGTGGGTTCCATGAATATCGGAGTTTTTCGTTTTTTTTTTTTCGAGGGTTAGTTTGTACTCGAACCATATGCTCATGAACTCATCTCCAAGACTCCAACCCTCGCTTCGCAACCCATTCAATTAATGAACAATCAATGCCCTGGATACCCTTGAGCGAAAAATCCCTAGATCGTACTACCCACCCCCATCAGCAAGATCATGATTTTACTACTTGTTCCACTAGCCAAAAAGTATGTAGGGAATCAACTTATCTATCGAAAGAAAAAGCTCAAGCCGACTTTTTTTTTTTTTTTTTTTTTTTTTGATGGATTTTGAAAATACTTGCTTTGAGGGGTACTGAGCCTGGCTTTTTTTTTTTTGAATTTGTTTAGCTTTTCCGAGTAGAAAAAAGTAAAATACGAACGTACAGACTCGTAGGCACCTTATTTCTTAATTATGATTACATCGGCACCCAATGCACCCTTGAGATGGACCTGAACCAGGCCAGGATAATTTTATTGATCATGATGCACACAGTACATATGTACCGCCGCCGCCAAAATCGCAAAGTCTCGTCCCATGATTCAACACAACTCTTGGAAATTCGTATTTGTTTGTGACAGGTAGTTTGATGGCTTTTGATGGTTTTTGATGGATGGTAGCAGGTTGGTGTGATGGGGAGGACAAGTAGTCCGAACAGTCGCAACAAATTCAAAAAGCTTAATTTATGTCGAATTCGGGTGTAGCTGAAGAATGTGAACCGGTACTACTTGGGGGGTGTATCACAATAAGTACCTTCATCCCCTCTTTCTCTCTCTCCGTTTTTTTATTTTATTTTATTTTATTTCATTTCTTGATCTGAATGAAAAGAAGAAGGAAAGGGAAAAAAAATTGGAAAATCCCCGTAAAAACAAAAGATCACCGACAGCGCTTGGCGCCCGGTCTGTACCACTTCCCCCGGTGCCTCTTGCAACCGGTGCCGAAGGGCAGGAACGACAATTTTGTCCTGTTATGGTAATTCTAGTTCGGGTATTGCCTTTGCGACTCGGGGTGGTTGCGCAGAGGGAGAGACGGAGAGACGGTGCGCCCGGGACGTGGTGGGCCGTATCTCCGCGTCCTGCAAGTGCAAACGCGGCGGGTCTCATGATGGACTTGCTCATTGGCAAGTGCGTGCTATACGCCGTTATGAAACGTTTCACGATATCGATTGGGTGGAGGGCAAGACATTTTTTCTGTTTCATTTCGATTGCGATAAGGCTGATGATTATGACTCGTCGACTCGTTGGTGTGATATTCCACTACTAGCAATGCGCGTAATAATAATCGACGATGTATGAAAGCAAGCTTAATTACGTGTCGATACGATACTACGTATCTCCACGTGTAATAAGGGATATCCAGGATCCGAGATTCGTCGAGTGGTATGTAAAATAAAAAAAACGCACGCTCTGAGAATTCGAAGATGTCGTATGGCCTGCTTGAATCCGATCATATATATGCGTCTTCTTGATAATTGAAAACTCAAGCTTCAAGTGCTTCTGGCAGGATGTTAGATATAACGTCGAGCCACGAGCCTCATGGCAGGTAGGTAGATTCCGAACAACGTGTTAGCTATTATTGAACCTTGAACGCTGAACTCGAAGGGTGTAAGAATTTCCCGCGTTGTGATAGACTAGATAGTACAGTACGCCCACGTTCCTCACGGATGAAAGAAGGAAGGGACTTGGGCTTGAGAGAGTGAGCTCGAGTGAGAAGGCCAAGGGACTTGAAAAGGCTGTCATTCTTGATAATTGAATACTCAAGCTTCTGGTAGGACGTTTAATGTTGAGCACGAGCCTCATGGTAGGTAGATTCCGAACTCGAACCCTCTAGAAGGGTGTAAGAATTTCCCGCGTTGTGATAGACTAGATAGTACGCACACGTGCCTCACGAGGAAGGGCGAGACAAAGTGAGAAGGCCAAGGGTCTTGAATAGCGCAATACCAATTCGGACTGTGTGATCATCATTTGGCTGATGTAGATAGGACCAGCCTCAGGTACCTCGGTTGGTGTTGATGTTGACATCGCGACGGTACTTATGTGCAATCTACATCAACGCCAATGATGTTTGCCGTAGTCGGTATGTGATGTTTGCTATTTTTCCTCTCAGAGGTCTGCGCGCATGGCACGTTCGCATGGATGGGCTAGAGCAGGCTAGAGGGCGAGATCAAGGACGGTGGACGCCATATGTAACGACATCGTGCGCCTGGGGAACTGTTTTACCGAACCATCTGGACTGGATGGCGCGGAATAACATATATGTCGGGATCTAATCGAGGTACGTATGGTTTTTCATTTACCCCACACTTTTGAAATTGATGAGTGTGGATGGTAAGAGAGAAAAGGCAAGTTGAATATGCGTCGTCGTCGTCGTCGTCGTTTTCTTTTTTTGGACGTGATGCGAGGCAGGGTCGTTGTCGAAGGTTCAAGGGAGTAAGGATGCAGGGTGGGGATAACCTTGTTCTGAACCGCTTCCGTCTGGCTGGCCGGAGATGCCGTTGGGGGAATGAAGAGAGATCGGGGGGAGATGGGATCAAAGCGTTCATTGAGATCTGCGGCCGATGTACGGATTTAAGTGGATTAATTTCATTGACACATGAGCTGTTTGTCAAGCTCAAGTCGAGTCCAGAACGGATCTTGGGTTGGAGGTATGTACATAGCAAAGGATCGGCAGTGTTGTTTGCGAGTATTGTTGTGAGATCTTAGATGTTCTTCTCCGTTCCGTAGCCCCACTCCGCTCACTTAAATTTTTATCCAGCACAGATCTTGGCTTGGCTTATCTTTTAAAGTGCCCCGCGCTCTTACCTCTCTTTCCCTTTTTCACAACAATGATGCCGTCCCCCGTCAGTCCAACCTTTACAAACTTTTCTGCACCTTCGCCCTACTCGGAGCCCAGCCCTATATCAGACCCAAATTACGACAGCCCAGTAGACCAGGACTATCCTGTCTATCCACCTTTATACGACGGGAACATGATGACTTGGTCCCCAGATAACAAGAAGCACCATCATCGTACTCTTCGCAACCCTTACACTACCTATGACCTTGCCATGCTGTACATTCCTCCACGACACCCTCCCGTCATTCACTCTCCAGTACCATCCCATCCCATCCAGCACCACCAGCACCATCACCACCAACAACAACCCATGCATCAACAACTCCCACCCAACGACGCCCTATTCGACGTCGACCTCGAAGACTGGACTTCTCCCCCCGTCAACTCCCTACACGCCCAATTCCCCTCAACCCACACCCACACCCACACCCACTCCATCTCTCTCGCACTTCCACAATATCCTCCTCCTGCCGCCCCAAGAGTCAAGCGCGAAGAATTAGTACCCGCTTTCACCGGATATCATCACCCCTCATCGGCCCACTACGATCTCTCCGGCGTTCCAATCCAAAACAACCATGATCCGTACGTCCATCATCAACAACAAGTCTCACCTACGACAACGAATGGGACGTATTATTCACCGCCTTTTCAACAACACCACCACCACCACCAGCAGATTCATCACCATCCGCAGCAGCAGCAGCAGAATTACGTCGTCCCCGCTGAACTGTCCCCCACCTCCCCCGTATCCTCATCCTCGCCTCTAAGTCCTCGGTACGCCGATTTGTCGCATACCAATGCGGTGGTATGTGACCCGCGCTTTGTTTCCGGCTCACACGAGGACATGCTGTTGAAGGGGATGCTTCTTGGCGGGGACGACGGGTCCGAGTCGTGGCACGGCGAGCGGCGGTGTTCGCTTACCAGTTTGGAGAGCGAGGCTGAGGAGGGGGAGAGGGATGCGGAAGGGGAGATGGGTGATGCTGATGCGGATGGGGAGGATGATTGGGAGCATCAGCACCAGCAACAGCCTGCCGTTTACGACCAGCAGCCACAGCGGGAAGACCCTGGAGAGGAAGAAGCGCCAGAGGACGAAGAGAGTGAAGAAGAGAAGGAAGATGATTATTACGAGGACGACGAGGAGAGTGTGGATGATGACGATAACGACGGGGAATTCGTCCTGCGTACACGCCGAAGACGCGCCAACACCTCTTCTTCCGCCGTCTATCCCTCTTCCTATCCATACGTAACGGAAGGCCGGAACCTTCGCTCACGCGCTTCGTCGAGGTATAACCCCTACCCAAGCTACGCTGGTTCTTCGGCAAGCGATAATGGTGCTGCGTCTTATTCTGAGGATAACCCCAACGCATCAAGAAGACGCCCATCTACCTCATCACCACCCCTCTCCTCCTCCTCCTCCTCCTTCCCCACACGCACCCTAACCTCCAAAACTCCCTCCCGCACCCGTTCCTCCAGCGCAACCACAACAGCAACATCAACCCTCCCCGTCCCCGTCCCCAACCTGACCAAAAAATCACGTGGACGGCGGGTACCCACTGTATCGTCCCTCGAGGATCTGAGGAGCGCCGCGAGCGGTGCCGGAAGAAAGAGGCAGCAGCAGCAGCAGGGACCGGGGAAGGGCGCGAGGATGTATTTATGTGATGTTGAAGGGTGTGGGAAGTGTTTTGCTAGGGGGGAGCATTTGAAGAGACATGTGCGGAGTATACATACTTATGAGAAACGTGAGTCTTCTTTCCTTCATCTCTCTCTCTTGTTTTTGGGTTCTCTGTATCACTAAAGAAGGAATGGAAAGCTGATTCAATTTACTTTCTTAGCGCATACGTGTCCTTACCCGGGGTGTGGCAAGGATTTTAGCAGGCATGATAATCTTGGCCAGCATATGAGGGTTCATAAGGATTATGTGCCGACGAAGGGTGGGGCTTGATTTTGCCCAATGGTGGGTGGGGGTTTCCTTTTTCCCCGCCTCATCCTTGCACTGGGGGGGGTTTAGCTTACACCGCAGTTTGGTTTTAGATCATTTCGCGCATGCCCTTGGAAATGCGATTATACTTGCGGATTTTTTTTTTTCTCTCCCCTCTTATTCACTGGTCGTTCTCCGTGGTTTTTTTTTTCTCTCTCTCTCTCTTTGGTTTGCCTTGGGCGGACGTTTTTTTTTTTCATTTCTTTGGTACAGCAATACACTTCCCTTCCCACCTCGCTCACTCCCAACCACATAAATTTCGTTCACGTTCATTTCACATTGTTTTGCTATTTTTCTTTCTGTGTATCTTTGGGTTTTTTTTTTTCGAGTCTTTCAAAAATTTCATTCTCATGGCGTTCATCCACGGTTCAAAGTCTGTTCCCTCTTTCCCTTCGTTTCCTATGGCCCCTCCTCATCGCATAGATCCCGCAACCCTTGCAAAGATCGTTCTCTACTCTACTCTTACATTGATGTATCAAATTACACCATTCCCCATCTACCACTTTGTTTTTTCTCTCTCTACTTTACCCCCATTCCGACACTTTCAATAATCCCCAAGAGGCGCTCTTTCTTCTTTCAGCTGGAGAGTAGGGTTCGGAGTTGATCTACCACCGTCCGGGACACCCCTCGCTTCGACTTCCTTCGTTCTTCGTTCTTCGCCACGCAAAAGCCTCGCGGGTTCATCCCATCCCATCCCATCCATCCGTCCCATAGTTTATCGTTATCTATCGTGGTTTCTCAATTCATATGTACTCTAT